GATATTTTGATATGTTTACAGCATTATTATAAATGACATACGGCTGTGATATCTTGGATTTGGCCCTGGCAATGATGGAGAGTGTTGATCTGATGTCGTTTCTCTCAAATATCAAGATGGCGTAGTATAACAAGGTTGTTATATCCGAAAATCTCATTACGTCATGATAAATCTGAAGCAATCGTCCGTGCATTAAATACACTCGGTTTCCTTTTGGATATTTGAACAGTTTCCTGTATATAAGGAAGAAAAGAAATTGCGAAAGATATTTTTGCGTAATAACATGATCCCTGCATTCAAACTCATTTCTACGCGACAAACCTGCTATGTTTCGTAGAGTTCCAAGCAAGTTAAATTCTGTTAATCTAACGAATCCAAACCTTACAAGATGAAACTGATCAATTTCTGAGAAAAAATTAATATCATTTTGAACTTCAATTACATCAGCTTGAAATCTTAGTTCACGGTTAGGGTCATCATTCAAGAAGGAACTTACAGTACGACTATTGAAAATGCAACTGTAACCTTCTTCATACAAAGAATTGAGCCTGACAAGTAATGATTTTTTTGCTAATACGGATAATTTTCCCAAAAACATATTGTTCTCTGGTATGAAAAAATTGGGGCAATATTCCTTGTTCACCCAATGCATCAATCGCTTAAAGCAAGACCAAAAACAATGTATCAATGTTTGCACCGACCAAACATATTTTTCCTCTTGAATTTCCCAAAACATGGCTGTTTTCAAAAAATAAGAACAGAGTACAGGGTTGTTGTCGTCTTTGTTGATCACCTCTTTCAAGAATAATTTCATCAGCCCGTATGTTAAAAACTGACAATGGTTCATAGTTTTCACTAATCTATATTCGGCCAATGAAAAGGATATCCTCCATTCCTTCTCTGCATCATTTTTACTCCCAATTGGAACAAAATGGCAGCCGCTTGTTAAGATTTCATGAACAACACTTGCTGGTGGCCAGTTCTTGCCTCTCGATGTCCAAGAAGATGCCGATGAAGGCCAAAAATTACATTTAAAACAGAGAGTTAAATCAAGGTCAGTGCTATCACATTGTTTAATCTTCATGCATGGCCCATGAGCGGATGACTCGAATCCCATAGAAGTGCGATGGAGAAAAATATTTTCCATTAATTGACGTCCACCTGAACTCAAAAGAAATACATTTCCATTGTGCACTCTGATGTATTCTTGTGACAATAATTGCAATATAGGAATATCTATCATCTCAGTATACATGGTATAATAACTATTTCCTTGAAAATGTTTTCTTATTTTCGATAGACTCTGAAACATCGATAGCAAAGTTTCATTAAATGAAGGAAGCTGAAGGAAGCAAAATCCAGGGCGACTATTCACGTATTTCAGAAATTGAAATCCGTTTTTGATAGCTTTTTGAACCAAATCTTTCTGTTTATCCTTTGTTAGTATAAGACAGTTTGTTAAACAACACATCACGTCAAAATCGGAATCAGAGAATATAAATCCCTCTCTTCGGCTTCCCATAAGCATAACAACTCCGGAAGGATGCAAGCATTGAGAAGAATTATCATTATTTGAAATCATCTCCACCAGGTCCATCGCAGATCTTCTTATTTCGATCTGAAACGGTGATCCCACCTTCTTACACAATCCATCGTACACTCCCTCAGACAAAACACTGATGCCTTGCCTTTCAACCTTAAAAAAAAGCTTGTAATTATATTTTGATGTTGAAAATTTTCTGTGGATTTTACTTTTTCCTCATTTCCCATTTACTAGTACATTCTAATTAGTAAAATTTACAAAGTTATGTCATACATACATGTAGTACAGCAGTATTTGAAATATTGTATGCATTTAATTAGTAGCAGTTTACATATTTTGTTATACTTAGCAATATTGTATACATTTTTATTACATGTATTAAGTTTTACAAATTTTTGTTATATATAATATACCGGATAATATTGTATAATTTGTAAAATTTACATATTTTTGTCATAAATACATGTAGTATACGTAATATTGTAAACATTTCTTTTAGTAAAAGTTTATATATTTTTAGCTCACCAGAGTCGAAGGCTCAAGTGAGCTTTTCTGATCACATTTTTTCGTCCGTCCGTAATATTTGTAAACTTTTCCGAAGGCTCAAGTGAGCAAATTTTGTCTGTCTGTCCGTCTGTAAACTTTTCACATTTTCGACTTCTTCTCAAGAACCATTGGGCCAATTTTGACCAAACTTAATACAAAACATCCTTGGGTGAAGGGGAATTTAAATTTTTAAATATTGTATACATTTTACTTGGTAAATTTTCAAATATTTTTTGTTATACACCTGTACATAGTAATATTGTATTGCATTCTAATTAGTAAAATTTACATATTTATTACATATTTTTGTTATACATAACATATTATATTTTAATTTAATAGAATATTTTAAGTATATATTTTTGTACATGTACTCTGATATGTCTTATGTAACAAAGAAATAAACAGGAGAAGGCGCAGATCTGCACATTTATATATATTCCTGCTACCCAAACCTGAATAATCATAATAAAATTTTGTTTCATTAAAAAAAAAATGAAATTACAGAAAATTCTATTTTCTTCCATGAATATTTACTCATCCTGAACTTATTAAAAATGGATCTCTTTTTAATATCTGGATCATCAATATTATTTTCAATGAGTGAAGACGTGTTGAAATTAAAATGTTTCACATTCAAATTTGAATTCTTCATTTATTGTCTACTGTTGCATTAAAATTCTCTTCCATTATATACTAGTACTTTAGGGACAAATAATATATGCACTTGGTAAATGTATAAATTGCATTTTATTGCATTTTATCTGAAGTAGGACCAATAACATAATTATGCATGCAAGTTGCATGTGAAAAGTTAAAAGACTGCATGTAATTCAAATAATCTTCTTCTTTTAAAAAAGATATGCAAAAAATACTCCACATAATTATAAAAAGGGTTACAATTTACTGGTGTAAACTATGTTTTATCAGATCCAAAGGCTGTGTATATTTTATTTATTAATTACTTTACTTAATTACCATTGTAAAATGGTTACATGAATCAAGACTATGTCTGCAATACTGCTGCCATGCACTAGTTCAAGCTACACAAATCGATAAATGCATGATACCAGCTAATATTGAGCTATATCATCTTGTTTCATTTGCTTTATATCACGTTCTTTAGTATACACAGTGTGCATTATTTTGATAATTATACTTAAACATTTTTTTTTCTGAATATTCTCCCGACATCCTGTTTTGTGTCATTCGATTGGACCATTTTTTCTTCTTCCGGCATTCACTTTTTCCGTCTTTGTGTAGACCGTTTTTATCTTAATTCCCGTTCAAATGAATTTTATCTACCAGTACAGCATCCTCCCAAGTCGAGTTTCTGATCCGCTCCGCTCCACCTAAACCCTTGACCGAATAGGCTAAGTTTGACAGGGTTAGAAATGCGTCCTCTGATTGGCCTCATGCTAGTTTGCATGAACCAATCAAAACATAGTTTATTTAAACTGAAACTAAATCATAAACAGAAACACGCCAGTTTTTGTCCCAAGGATAACGTATTTATCATTAAATAGCCCAGTTACAGGTTTGTCTCAGCTTTTTAGTTGAGTTGTATTGAATTTATTACCGACTACCAATATTATATTTCGAATTCGCTGTTGAATTCGTTTACTCTGATTGGCTAATAGCAGAGGTCAGTAGAGTTCAAAATGTGTGATCTCACTAGATGGCGTGACAGTAAACCCCGTCAAACTTAGCCTATTCGGTCAAGTGTTTATGTGGAGCGGAGTGGATCAGAAACTCTTGACTTGGGAAGATGCCAGTACAGTGGAGTCGCCAATTCCGGGTCGTCTCCAATTCCGGGTCACTCATTGTATTTTATGCCACATTGTTAAAATTTAAGCGCAAAAAACTTAATGAATACGCTGGGACAGTCATGAAGAACTGTTATATCTATATGTGATTAATTAATTACAAAATTTTGAATATCAACTTTAAGAGAGCATCCGACAATCGAAATTATGAAACGCACGCATTTAAGACTTGGATGTTTCTGCCTACTTTCGTTTTTCTTCGCTGCAGAAAGGCTGATATAAAAGTTCTGCAGTAGATAAATAAGCTCGAAAGTATGGTAAATGCATTTAGTTTTAACTCAGAAATCAATCATAATGATATCGCTGATAAAATTATAATGATTATTAAATCAAACTCTAGTAATTTCTCCAATTGCGGGTCACGTAATCTCGTGGCATGAACATGTCAAAATTCTATGTACAAAACCAATCGACAACCATGTATTTACCTTGATTATCTAAAGTATTCTAACTTGAAAATATTTTTTCTAAAAATTAAAATCGAGTTAACCCTTCAAATGCTTTTTTTAAATAAATGAATCTAATTGTATTATTTTTAATCCTCATACACTTCTTTAAATTATGCATTCGCAATTTGTTTTGTTGTAATTGTTTTAAAAATAATTTAAACATATTTCTGTGGTTGTTTTACTTTTTCCAAGCTGCATGAATTATTTTATGTTTCAACATCATAAAAATCGTATTCCAAAACGAAGTTACATGACCCGGAAATGGAGAAAATGATTCGTAACTGGGGAAGCTAGGCCTTGCTGAAATACCCCTGTAAATATTGTTCTCGTGTAGCTACTTTGAAAATGAAAACGAATGTGTTTGGATGAAGCTAGGCCTTGCTGTAATTCCACTGTAATATAGTATATATATATTGTTACCCGTGTATACTATTTGAAATATAACTTATACGTGTTTACAGAATTACATGGGGAGCGCCTATGCTTTTTCCCTCCTTCCTCTTTGTATATACTCTGAATATGTAAAACCAAATATCATAAATAGTATGTTATCCGCCCCTGTTCACTGAACTAGTTTGATCAAAACTGTTGCAAAATAATCCGGGAAAAATAATGTCATAAATTGGTTTTAAAGCTTATCGAGGGCATGTGGTTTCCTGCTTGAGTTTCTGCACGATGTGATAGTTTACTTCATGATGAATGCCAATAAAACGAAGTATTCGTCTATAAAGAAGTGCTATTTTAGAGTTAAATTGTAAGTGTAGATTTTTTAAAGGAAAATTTTATACCTGTAACGGGAGGAGAAAAAATGCAGCGTACAAGAGATGGTTTAGACCGGGATTCGAACACGGCATCCGTGATCTGAATATCCACCTATCTTCCACCTGAGCTATCTGGTCATGACGATCGAACCTGACACCACAGTCCTCCCTTCTTCAGGTCTTTGGCCCCTGTAAATACCATCTCTTTGGCCCCTGTAAATACCATCTCAGGCCCTTCCGTGGCCGGTATTCTGTTTGAACTGTCACTTCCAGGGCATGGCATGACACCAGTTGTTACAACAGAGAAGAAAATGCAGCAAACCAGACCGGGATTCGAACTTAGGTTGTCACAGAATATCCATTCACACTGCTGTATCATTACTCAGCTATCTGGTGACTGGCAAATGAACCTTTTTAGTTTTTATGTTATAAAAGGACAAATAAATCTGGAGTCACCGTGACTTCAGATTTACTGTGTGACATTGTACTTTTTAAGGTATGGTTCAAATCACAGTCACCAGATGAATAGTTAGTGTAATCCCCCATCTGAATTTTTCAGACTTTATAACTACTAAATAGCAAATATACATGGATCCCTAGTTTATCAAACCAACCCCTTTAAGGACTCAGGTGATTGCTGTGGGCTATAGGAGTTCAGTATGTTTACTTATATTAACTTATGAATTCTTAATATTATTTAATAACAACTATTTTAACCTAACCTTATGTTTTGTAGAGAATTTGAACATATTGGAGACAAAGACATTGGACCGACAATGTTCAACTTCGTTGTCCACCAAGCTGTTAAAAATTTATTTGGAGAGGTTTGTACAAGGATCTTCTTTATTTTATTTTTTTTTATCTTATGCAATTGTTTTCAAAGAAACACAGACCTTGTCAATACTGTTCAAGTCAGAACTGTTTTTTTTTCACAATTTTACTTATCAATTTTTATTTTAAATAACTTAAATTTATTTTATAAGTCAGTATTATATTCTCACTCACATCATTCAGCTAAATATAAATATATTTATAGTAAATATATATTTATTTGCTTCTTTACAATAAAAGCCCATATTTTACTTTGATCTTTACAATAAATACCTGTAACGTTTGAAGCTTGAACATGTTGAATTGTTTTATTAATTAACAGATTGGGGAGAGTTGTGTTGATGTTATCAAGTATGACCCGCTGTTTTCAGAAGCCATTATAGTGACCAATGAAAGGTGAGCTTTTTTAATTGTATTATTTAATTAAGATTTACTTCAAAATTGAAAGCAAATCAAGGTTGGGAAAGGGTAGGGACAGAACAACCTTCTTGATTTTGCAGACAAAAGACCCACATGATCAAAAAAGAGTTTATTATCCTTTTGACCTCAAGCAATAGGTGTCTTCCAATTATGGCCACAGTTGTGTGAAAAATATATCCGCGAAAACTAAAAGGCTTCCTGAGGTATCAGGTGGAAATGAAACATTACAGACAGACAGAAATGCAGGCAGACAGACAGACCAAAATTAATATCCCCCACTTTCAGTGAAAGCAAGGGACAAAAATCTGGAATCCTGAATTTATATAAATATAATGGTCAAGATCTTGGAAATTTCAAATTTTATAATAATTATTATTTCTCTATACTGTATAAGTAGAATTTTTAGCAAGGATGTAATTTTGGCATTATTAGTGAGGATACTTACATCGCTAAAATTGAATATCGCCAAAAATTAATTGCCTTTTATTTATAAAAGCTTCTTTAGTAAGCATTTTAAAATCGCTAAAATAACTTCTCACTAAAAATAAAATACCAATTTGTAAGGACAAATCGCTAAATTTGCGTCTCGCTAAAATTTCCACTTACACTGTAATTTGTCCAGGGACCTATATACATGTTCTAAGTTAGTATATAGGTCCCTGGTTTGTCATATTATTTAATATGTATATTTTAAGCATTTTATACCTTGATTACCAGAACAAGGATATTTCATTGAAAAAAATGAATTCATGAAATCAAATCCTTTGAATCATGACAATTCAAATTTTACTGTGAAGTCTGTGTTTATTTTTTAGCTAGATTTTTTTAGGTTCTGAAATCTGTAATTTTCTGAAACCTAATTCTTTTAAGAATATGCGAGTTTCGAGATTGTAACTCTCCTGCGATAGAGTCGCAAAAAGTATCCATTTCAGCATGGAGGTGGGACAGTTTGTTTATGTATACAAATGTGCATAAATAAATGAACGATGTTTATGGCTTTTAAAATTTATTTAATGTTATAGAAAGATAAAAATGTTAAGCAGTGATGCATTTTATGATTTTATCAAGCTTAACTGTGTATATTTATAAATCTACTTTCAATTATAGTGTACTTGAAAACGAAATAAACGTCGTGGTCTTCATAAAAAGTAAAAGATTTTCTTGATTGTACAAACATTCTCTAAAAAGTTAGTAGGTTTTTTGAAGTTATAATAAGGTAAAAAATTAATGTGTCATTTAGATTGCCGACTTGTAATGATCAGATTCATGTTTACCGTATTTATTAGAGGTCCATATATCTCTTTCCTCGTCTGAAAAGTCTCACATCCATTGACTTTTCTTTTTTGTTCCGATTTTTTTGCTTTAAAAAAATGGCACCTTTACTTTAATTCGGTTATTTTCAAGTTGAACAGTGCATCCTTACAATTATATAATTACGATAAACCACGTTTATCGATGATGCGATATATCCAATAATGAATATCTGTCCCACCTGTTTGTTTACGCGGCAACCAAACTCCCCTCCTCAACGAAAGAGCGCACCAAGGGAGATTATCTCGAAACTTGCGTATTGAATAAAATTTGCATGACATGTGATGATGTCTTACAAAAATTATACTTTTGTCAATTCATGTTTTTCAGCCACAACATCTCTTTAACAAACCCTTTTGGTTACATTTGATGAAATTTAAAGAGGATCAAGATCATAAAGAACTATTATTATGATTTTTTTTTACTTTCTAGTTTTAGAGGACAGCTGCACAGTGCTTTAACGTTATTTGGATGCTATGACAACAAAAGATGTGCCTTTAGAGTAATGCAGGTTATTTTTTTAATACATGCATATTGTACTGGAATATACTCTACTTATCTTAACTCTTAAATGAAATATATTGTTAAAATTTCAAGCTCATACAACACAGCATTTTGTTAGCCTAGGGTAAATTTTGCTCTAGAAGCCTCCCCACTTTTGTTCCTCTAGTATTGAGCACTGGCAAATTCTAGAATTTGGACAGTTTATTTTTTTCAAGCTTTTCAAGCTTAGTCAGATTATTTTAAGAAGTAATACCCTTTTGAATCCTTTGCTATGGGTCTGGATTTTAAAAGTTTTAAAAGTTATATATGTTGAATGTTGTCATAATATGTGTATGATTTGCAGAATAATGTTATGTATAATTATTTGTTTATCTGTATTACAGATATCCTCAAGTCTTATAAATTTGGCAAGTGACAGCCGGCAGCTGAGTGGTCCAATGAAATCCAACATATGATTTCTTAGTCGAGGAGATAACCCCTGACTCACAGACATCTGAAGCTACTTATTTTTCTTTTAATAAAAAAATACATTTACCCATACCTAATAATAAACTTTTATTAGGTATGGGTATATTTTTTTTATTAGAAGAAAAATAAGTAACGTCAGGTGCCCATGCCCCGACTGTGTTCAAGTACATGTATTTATACAGATGCACAATTATGCCATTATGAAAATTATACACGTGTTCAATATACATGTCAGTATTATATAAGATGAGGTCTATTTGCCTGTTTAATTGTTTATCATGTTGAAAAAGAAGATGGACAGTTGAAAATCAGTGATGTAGAGTAACAATTCAGATAGCTAACGTTAAAAAAGAGATTATTCTATTAGTCATATATATATATATTCATTGTTGCATGTAAAATGTTAAATGAAGCACAAAGATCATGATACATGTACATGCATAAAAATACTACATGTAAATAAATTTTACTTAACATATAAATGTTGTTTTAAAAAAAAAATGGAGGAGTTGCACTTTTTTTTCAATTTTGTAATTATAATTAAATACCTTGTTATTCTTTTGCTGATAATATGATTGAAGATTCTTAGTCTTCATTAGATTCATTGGCAAAGATCCAATATTGTAGAAAAAATGCACTTTTCTACTTATGTTCTTAGTACTTATGTACTATATGTGACCTTCTAGGTGAACATAAGGATTTATATTTTTCTGTATTAAACTAAAAGGTACCCCTCCTTAAGTCTGATTGCAATATTGATTAATGCTGTTTCAAAGTTTCAAGTCCAAATGCTACTTTTCTCTTCCTTACTTATAAGTACAAACCAGTAGAGCTGCGTCTCGATAGAGACTTCTCATTTTTAGCTCACCTGAGCCGAAGGCTCAAGTGAGCTTTTCTGATCACATTTTGTCCGTCGAAAAAATGCACTTGTCTGTCTAGCTGTCCGTCTGTAAACTTTTCACATTTTCGACTTCTTCTCAAGAACCACTGGGCCAATTTTGACCAAACTTGGTACAAAGCATCCTTGGGTAAAGGGGAATTAAATTGTTAAAATGAAGGGACATATCCCCTCGCTAGGGGAGATAATCAAGAAAAGACAAAAATATGGTTGGGTCAATAAAAAAATCTTCTCAAGAACCACTGGGCCAGTAAAGCTGAAACTTATGTGGAAGCATCCTGGTATAGTGTAGATTCTAAATTGTTCACATCATGATCCCCGGGGGAAGGGCAGGGCCACAATGGGGAATCAAAGTTTTATATAGAAATATATAGGAAAAATCTTTGAAAATCTTCTTCTCAAGAACCACTGGGCAAGAAAAGCTGAAACTTATATGGAAGCATCCTGGTATAGTGTAGATTCTAAATTGTTCACATCATGACCCCAGGGGGAAGGGCGGAGCCACAATGGGGTATCAAAGTTTTACATAGAAATATATAGGAAAAATCTTTGAAAATCTTCTTCTCAAGAATCACTGGGCCAGAAAAGCTGAAACTTATTTCCTGGTATAATGTAGATTCTAAATTGTTCAAATAATGACCCCCGGGGGAAGGGCGGGGCCACAATGGGGAATCAAAGTTTTATATAGAAATATATAGGAAAAATCTTTGAAAATCTTCTTCTCAAGAACCACTGGGCCAGAAAAAATGAAGCTTATGTGGAAGCATTCTGGGGTAGTGTATATTCTAAATTGTAGGAATCATGACCCCCGGGGGAAGGGCGGGGCCATTATAGGGAATCAAAGTTTTACATAGAAATATATAGGAAAAATCTTTGAAAATCTTCTTCTCAGGAACCACTGGGCAAAAAAAGCTGAAACATATGTGCCCATGGAAGGATCATGGGGTAGTGTAGATTTCAAAATGTCTAAATTACGATCAGTGGGGTAGGGTGGGGATGCATTATGTACAACAAAGGGGAGATCTGGTAAAGAACAGAATGGTCAAAGCTTCTCAGGTGAGCGATGTTGCCCATGGGCCTCTTGTTAAATTTTAATTTTAAATTAATTTAGCTTGAAAATGGACATTGAAGATTGGTTGCCCCATCCATAATCCCCCCCCCCCCCAAAAAAAAAAATCACATATATTGGAGCCCAGCTCGGGGGAAAAAACACACAACTCATTGGGTTAAAAATTATATTCAACCACAAGTCATGTGGGATATCTTTTTATCCTGTCAATATTATTTAAGGAAAACAAGTATATACTGACAAAACGTCAGAGATACTCAAGCTGTAGAAAGTCAACTATAGGAAGTGTCATTAATATCCTAAAACATGTAAAATGGTATAGGATGAGGGGTATTGAGTTCAATCTTCTGTTGAATAAAATACATATACATAAAACTTATATTGAATTTAATGAGAATAAATATAATTAATCATACTAATTTTTAAGATGAATTTACGTTACTCACTTTCAGGAATATTTTATAAAGATGTTATACTTCAAACTTTATATATGTTTTTTTTTAATAATTATTATTGCGTAATGAAGTACATCTATCACAGTTTAATATACATCAATCCAAATAACTTGTTACAGGCCTACAGGTAAAAACGTTTTTCAAAGTGGATGGGGGGGGCTCTCTCGAGTCGGTTCGGCTCCAAAAAATCCACGTGATCGCGGGATCATCTGTGCGGCATGTCCAATATATATTCCTTTCGAATCCAAAAGAAGTTATATAGCTTCCGTCACCAAAGCTGAAGATAACTAGTGCGATATTTTGAAATTTAAAAAAACAAACCTACGAGGGAGAATTTAACATTAATGTGCTATTGTTTTACTGTCACTCAAAGTGCACATGCACTTCATTCTCAGGCTCGTGTGAAACAATTTAAATATGGGGGGGGGGGGGGGGGGGGGTTCAACCATACATTTTCTGGTTATGCATAGTAAAATTTGTTAACGATGGGTACCCTGCGTCACCTTTCAGAGTAAACAGTGGACTCGTCCAAAGATGCTCTGTCGGCGTCTGTGAAAGTTACCTGAGATTCCTACGCAAAGGAAAGCGCGAAATATCTGTATAAAAACTGTTGCGGCTGCGGAGCTTTATTCATTGTTCATTCGCCATAGAAAAGAATCCGACATTTAAAGCCTAATATCTTCGAATATAGAGACTTTTTCAAGATAAGCTTCATTTTTGTTTCTAGAAATATTTTTATCTACAAAAAAAAATCTTTTCGTGTATTTTGACTGAGTAAATCGATGACCTAGCATCGTTTTAGATAACTCAAGCCCCTCTAGGGCTTGAGTAAAAATAGAGAGACCTAAATGAAAATTGTTTCAAATCAATTTTCTGAAAAAAGTTTTGATTTTTTTTTTTTGTAATAAAATTAGTCTATAGGATATTTTCTCACTTTCCATGATGCATGTATACATGTAAATACTCTTGAAAGGAAAAAGTAGGTCTTGTTGAAAATCCGGAATTAATTAGATTCCTGACCGATTGGGATTTTATCGTGTACGAACAACATCCTAAAAAGAATTGTTTACCTTTGCACCTTATCTGTTCACTGTTGCTTTGGATTTTCAACCGGAGATTAAACAAAATTAGCCAATTTAAGAATATAGATATATAACTGAGTCGACAAAGCTTTAGAGGTGTGTAAATTTTGGAGAATCATACAGTCGTTCGAATTTCCTCGTTAGAGTAAGTACTATCAATATCATGACTAGTCGAACCCTCAAACGGGGTAAACGGATGTTGGAAATCCGTACCCTCAAACGGGGGTACGGCGCATGCGCAGACACTCAAAAAGTGCCGTTTTTCACGGAAAAATGTGTGGTCCACAAAATATGCTCGTGCAAAGTGATGGATTATTTCGTAGCTCTGTATGTACTCAAATTTGATAGATAAAAGATGTTTAAAGAGATTGTGTTGCGAAAAAGTATATGTTAATTGCAAAAATCGAGACTTTTTCTCTCCCAAAGTTAGCGTATTCTGTGCCTTGACCTCCATGTTTGATACAACAGGATTTTTTATGCATAATTTAATAAAATGGATGAATAAACAAACAATGTTTTTTTTTTAAGTTAAACTACATACAATTCCGTTCCCCGGTATTACAAATTTTGTGTAATGAACATGTTATTTATTATTTTTCGACACTTTCTTCTGTACCCGTCCGAATTTCCCCTGTCTTGTAAACAAACTTTTGTGCTTCAGAAATGAGGTAAATAAAAACGAAAAGTAATTTATTATTTTTTTAAAATTGAAAACAAAGGTGTAGATGAATCATTTTTGCATGTTTGTGATTTTTTAAATATATATATATATTTTTTAAATAAGAAGAATTATCGTTCTTGAATTTCGTGCGTTGCATTAAGGGAAGGAAAACCCTTGTTTGGGGGTATACCCCCGTTTGAGGGTTCGACTAGACTGCTAAAAGCATCGTCGGAAACCCACGGGTGATCTTGTCTTTTACTTATATAATACTTTGATAAGTAAAAGACGAGATCACCCGTGGGTTTCCGACGATGGACTAAAAGTAGATACTATTACTTGACTTCAATATTACTGTATAATGATTGTTATTATCCATATATAATTTTGAAATTCATGACTAAATTTTGTGGCGTTAACTATCCTTTTTATGAAAAACCCCATTCCTATATATACAACTTGAATAACAAGATAATGGATTAATGCACAGGGGCCGGTAACATACTGTTTTTGATTTTACGTAATCACTATTATACAAAAAAGGATTTTTCTTTTTGTATACATAGATCTATAGTGATTACGGAAAATCAAATACAGTATTCAACATAATTAAGTGCATATCCAGAAGAAATCCCCAGCTTATTTGATTAAAAAATTTATATATATACAATACCCTTTACACAACTTTGATAATTTTATTGTAGATATATTATATTTATCTTTCCAAAATGATGCCTAATTCAATTATACTTAAATATTTTTAAAAACTCAAATAAATAAATAAATATAATATGTAATTTTTTTTTAAATTTTTTAAATTAATATTTTAAAATAATTAAAATTCTCCTGAATACTATTATAACAAAAAGCATGAAAAACTCTTACAGTTAGGAAAAACACTTCTTAAACAATTTTTTTCTTGCAACTCGATCTGCATTCATTTGTGGCAGTCAGGCGGGTTCAATCGCCGGTGGCCAGATAGCCTAGTTGGTAGAGCACCTGACCGGATTTTCAGGGGGCCCGGGTTCGAATCCCGGTCTGGTCCGCTGCATTTTCTCCTCTCCCTTTACGTTTGGTGCCGTGCCATGCCCTGGAATTGACATGTGAAAGACCTGTCAGGGATGCAGAGCCTAGGTTGGGGTCTTAGGAGGGCCAAGACCTTTAAGGAGGGAGGAATGTGGCGGTCAGCCGGGTTCGATCGCCGGTGGCCAGATAGCTCAGTTGGTAGAGCACCTGACCGGAGTTTCAGGGGGCCCGGGTTCGAATCCCGGTCTGGTCCGCTGCATTCTCTCTCCTGTTACACATTCATCCAGTGTATGCAGGCCTAAAATGTGAAGGATGGGGATTCCAGAATTTGTAAAGGGTAGAGTCTTTTTAGTTAGATGATACTAAGGATGGAGTTGGATGATATCAGGGGTGGAGACTCAAATTGCAATTCAGGATACGGGGGCGTAGCTCGACCTTCAGTTATAGTTAGTCAAAACTATTGGGCTGGGGGTCTGGGGGCTGTCTTAGGCCAAGGCAGGTCCAGGGCAGAGCCCGGGGTGGGGGGGGGGGTCATAGGGGCAAAGCCTTCCGACGAAAATTGCATTTGTTGGTTTTAGAATGTAAAAATGACACTTCTCCTGGACAGAAATTTTATAAAGTAACATACATGTATGTACATACTGTATTTCAAAGTATTCAATACAGTAAATAAAAATGTTTATTCAAACTAACACATTTTCAAAAAAAAAAAAATACATCTTATATTTATTTGTTTGTTTTTAATATTTAAGTATACCGTATATACTCGCCTATAAGTCGGTATTTTGGGAGTTAAAAATATTGGTCAAAAACTCTATGTCCGACTTATAGGCGAGTCATAAAGAGATTGGTATTTTTCTGGAGACTAAAAGGTAGGATTTTATTTGCATTCCGACGATTATCAAAGAAAATGTGTGGATATATATATAAGATAATTTATGTATTAACAGTATCATATATATAATGTACAAGTATTTGCATATTTTAATAATTTTCTTTGTATTTTAAGTGGCATTGCACCAAAATAACGTCAAAAAATACAACCGACTTATAGGCGGACCGACTTATAGGCGAGTATATACGGTAATTGAATTCGGCATCATTTTGGAAAGATAATTTATGAAAATAGTGAATAGTAGAAAACTAGCGTACTGTATAACAAAACAAGTGCCTGTGTTCTTGTGGTCCTTAAATTATTTTCCAAAAAAATACCTATAGGTTTTAGAACTACATAGAACTCAATCTCATGAATTTTGATCAAGAACCAGTTTCTGATCAAGAACCAGTACACTAATCTATAGCTTTATATAAATGATAATTAAAAACAATTAGGTTTTAAGAAATAAATTAAATATTTTCTGCGATGTAGACTTCATTAATGAATTATAGGAAGGGGAATGTTGCTGAAAAATCTAGTGAGGCAGTTCATTCATTGCCACAATGGAAGCTACATCCCTGGGATAATTCAAGATAGCATTTGCTTATCAGATCTGTCAATCAACTTCTAATTTTCTTACTGTCAGAATGCCACATTATGACAAAAAACAGCTTCAAATTTTTCTATTTTAGTGCTTTATTGTCATCGTTTTCTTTATCAAAGAATGAGACCTTTAGATGGCATAGGAATATATGTTTGTGCTTTTGATAAAAAAAAATTATTAGTATAAGATAACAAATGCTGTGTGAAAGGAAAACATCTAAACATATTGGTTAAAGATTTATGTCATCATTTTCATGAAATATTATCCTATAGTAAATCATGATTTATTGACAGATTTGAATAGGTTTTAGGGTCTTAAACTTAATGAAAGATAGGCAAAAAATTTACTGAGCCCCTAACTGACATTAGGGGCTCCACCCTTTGCACTAGTATTCTGCGACACTTCATGTTGGATCTACCATCCTCCGCATTCTACACCAAGCTGTTTATACATTGACTACATTATACATCCTAAGTTTATCAAAAGTTGTATTATGTAAATATATTCTGATATACAGCATGATGTCTCTGTACTCTTTGTAATAGATGTGAATTCAGCTGAAGAATCATCATCAAAAAAAGTTGAATAAGACAGAGGATTATTAGTCCAACACAACCAAATGAGATGGAAGAGGTAGTCTCCTAATTTTATACCCAGACGATGTTAGGCTAAAACAGGAATGGAAAATTCAACAGTGCCTGACCAACAACAGGCATATCATAGTGAAGATGCAAATCAAAACAGATCACAAAATGAATCAACAGAAATAAAGGAGTCAGGGGGACTGAAGGAATTCAGTTTACCAAAAAACAAGGAAATGGATGAACAGGAGAATAGACTCGATTCTGGAGATAATCCTCATGTGGAGGAGGAATATAATCCTCATGAGGCTGAAAAAGATAATCCTCACCAGGAGGGCGAGGAGGAGGATCGGGGTGGGGGGTCAGGTGAGTCAGAGGACAGCAGTGAGGGGACCGTGGTCACTAAAGTCAAGTACAGAACTTGGCAGAACACCAGCTCAGAAAGCTGGGAGTCTGGAAATCCTATATCACCAGTAGAGGCAGAGGAATTAGAAAAGGAGGCACAGGAAAGGCCAGGCCAAGAGGAGGGTGCAGAGGACGAGGCCTCCAGTGCCTCATTGCCTAGGCCAGAGAGTTTGAATCTACCAAGGCCACTGCAGCAGTATGAGAAGAAACGTAGTTGTAGTGATGGAGTGGCCATTGAGTGTTATAACCATTTAGCTAACATTCCAGGCAAGAAAGACTCTGAATTTGAAAATATTGAAGAGACAATGTTATCTAAGAGCATGCCACATGGAGTGGTTATGAAGAAGGGGGAGTTGTTTGAATTTGTGGCCGATGACCTGCAAGAGAAAATCCGACAAAGTAGCCCTCTACCTAAAACTGGTAATAAAATATATTCATCATTTCATCATTATATATATATACCAATCTTAAAAATTACATATGTATGTGCAATAACATATATATTCTTACTATAGAATTACATGGACTTAGGTACAGAAGTTTTTGGCTATGAATAAAGCTTAATGCATACATTTCTTGCTCTGCATGTAATAAATATGCCATGCTTATTATCATATTCCATTTGAGATATATGTTAACAATCAGTTAACATGTCAGTGCCAAGTGATAATTAAAGAATTGTGAAAACACAAATCAGTATAATTATCATAAATGTTTACCATGATTATATGCTTTCTAACCAAATATGTTCTCCATTTCTTCCCTATTAGAATCCAGTGGTTTAAGCAGTAGAACCTCTAGTTCAAGGAGTATTGCCAGCATTTCCAGTGGAAACTCTTCTGCCATGGGAACATCAATGACCTCTGAAATGTCAAGGTCACCGAGTACTCAGTTCCAAAACAGTCCTATAGACATTCCACCTATTGACCCCATGGCAGTGATGGAGCTGGAGATGGCAGCCAAACGGGTGGCAGATAATGTAGATCTTCTGATGGGGAACCTCAAGTCAAATCTTCACAAGGTAGGAAAGTCAGATAAGGCCAAATAAAAGCATGTGATTCCAGTTATGTGACCTCTAAAAATAGGGAAATCAGATAAAGAAAACAATGGTCTAAGAGCACATCAAAGGATAACATCAAATATTGGTCTGACTAAAGCCAGCCCCTTCTATTTCACTTCGTTTGTAGGGACCCTATGAACAGAGTGAAATAGTAGGGGGTTGTTTCAATCAGACTGAGTTAAATGTATGCATTAAGTCTAGGGATAATTGGGTAAAAGAATTGTAAGTTTCTCTTTTTCATATTTTTGCTACCCAAAGGTTTATGTACTTAATTTTACAAAATTAACTTGCAGAGTAAACGTGCAGGTTTGAAATCCTTTGTTATAAAAATGCTGTTACCACAGTTGTACCTTTCTAAGGAAAATTTTCATCTATAATATATGTTTTTACTTAATTTTTACGATTGTCAACCTTTACAAAGGTCACTATAGTTACTTACCAACCTGAAATATGAGCTGCATTTTCATGTTATTTACAGACATGTTCTCTCTCTTTTTAGATGTCGGCCATTACTGTCGGTTGTTTAGATGCCTACAAGAAATCTGTAGATGCCACTTGTGATTCTGTGGACAGCAGTATCAAGGTATCACCAATACTTCTCACAATTTTAAAAATTAATAGAATTACTTTTAGTCAGAATTTTCTAAGTGATGATGATCTGTAAAATTATGAGTCTGGTAATATATTTTTTTCATTTCAGTCAATGTATGCCCTGATGGCCAAATGTGAAGAACTGAGCAAAAGCATGCAGCCAGTGTACCAGCTAGCAAACCAAATGTATCCTTTCTATATAGTACATGTATCTGAAAGTGATATTATACTTCAGTAAAACTCTGTTATTATAGCAAAGTCTATATGTTTATATAATGAACACAGTAAAATATGCTTATAATGAAGTGCTAGGGACCAACAATTTTTTTTGGGGGGGGGGGGATATTTTTAGTACTTTTTTATTTAGATTTAATGATATTAATTTTATAAGATAAACTGCCTTAACTCTTATCTAGAAAAGAAATCAAGAGATTGCTGGACAGGTTCGAGTCCCAACTTTCGGAAAAAGCCTCTAAAACAAAGTCAGGATAATTCCGTTCAAAAGGAAAAAGCTTTCAAAACAAAATCAGGATAATTTAGATCAAAAGGAGAAAGCCTCAAAAACTAAATCAAGATAATTCAGTGAAAAAGCCTCCAAAACAAAATCAGGATAATTCAATTAAAAAGCTGCCAAAACAAAATCAGTATAATTCAGTGAAAAAGGAGGTTTTAAATCAGGATAATTTAGTTCAAAAGGAAAATTAAATGTACTTTCAGAATAATGTGTGCATGTCATGTGCATATTGCTAATGTATGTCTGGAAAACACATGCTTCTGAGTTCTGATAGTAAAAAAAGAAAACATATGTAACATTTTTTGTGTAAGATTTGATAGAATAATACTCCATATGATGACTTTAATACTGAAAAAATTTAAATGTATTATTTATTTCAATCACTAGCTGTGAAAGATATTTCATACAGGGTAATGTGCAATATCATTGAATTTCCCTTTCTCAGGATATTCAGAGAAAACGTTGATATTTTTGTCTAAATTAAGACAATAAATTTCTCCAAAATATTTGTAGTTATTTTGGATTTTCTATTAAATCTTAACAACTCTTCAATGTTTGTATTTGTACCTCTCTAACAATGTGACTAGGAGGATCAGTACATCTGGATTAGGGGTGAAAAATATTGTATACAGGATTATTTTTGACCCACTTTATTTTTGCCCTTTTAATCTTGCAAATAATTTTGCCACGTCTTAAATTCGCCCAGTCACAAATTTTGTCTTGATATGGTTATTTTTTATATAATATACTGTAAATCTGGAAATTTTTACGTCGATTTTATTTTGCAAATGACCACTGCTTTGTTTACATTTTTAGGTCACCTGAGTAAACTCAGGTGACCTATTGCTATCCGTTTTCGTCTGTCGTCATACGTCGTTCGTAAACTTTTGAACATTTTCAGCTTCTTCTCTGCAACCACTGAACCAATTTCAACCAAATTTGGCACAAAGCATCTATGGGTGAAGGGGAACAAAAATTGTGAATTTCATGATCCCCCCCCCCCCTGGGGCCTGAGGGGTGGGGCCAAAACCACTAAAATTAATGCAATCTTTAAAAATCTTCTTCTTTACTCCTGGACATCAAGCAGTCAAACTGTTTGCATGATTGTAATCAGCATTGAGTCCTCTACCAAAATTGTGAAATTCACGGCCCTGGGGTCAGGGGTTCTAGTGCTAAGGCAGGGCTAAATACGTATATAGTGAAAATGCATTATTTCTTTGAAAATCCTCTCTGCTCCTGGGTATTAAATAAACCAACTAAGTAGATAGTAATGATGAGCAAGAGTGCCTCTACCAAAATTGTGAATTTTATGGCCCCAGGGTCAGGGGTTCTGGTGTTAGTGCGGGGCTCTATTGATTATATACAGTGAAAATACATGATTTCTTTGAAAATCTTCTTCTCTGCCCCTGTGTATTAAATAAACTAACTAAGTGCATAGTTATGATGAGCAAGAGTGTCTTTATCAAAATTGTGAATTTTATGGCCCCAGGGTCAAGGGTTCTGGTGTAGGGGCGGGGGGGGGGGGGGGGGGGGGGGGGGGGGGGGGCTCTATTGATTATAGAGTGAAAATACACGAATTCTTTGAAAATCTTCTTCTGTGCTCCTAGGTATTAAATAAACCAACTAAGTGCATAGTTATGATAAACAAGAGTGCTTTTACCAAAATTGTGAATTTTATGGTCCCAGGGTGAAGGGTTCTGGTGTTGGGGGGGGGGCTCTATAGATTATATTGTAAAAATACATGAATTCTTTGAAAATCTTCTTCTCTGTTCCTATGTATTAAATAAAAAAACTAAGTGCATAGTTAAGATGAGCAAGAGTGCTTTTACCAAAATTGTGAATTTTATGGTCCCGGGGTCAGGGATTCTGGTGTTAGGGCGGGGCTCTATAGATTATATAGTAAAAATACATGAATTCTTTGAAAATCTTCTTCTTTGTTCCTAGGTATTAAATAACCTAACTAAGTGCATAAGTTATGATGAGCAAGAGTGCTTTTACCAAAATTGTGAATTTTATGGTCCCAGGGTCAGGGGTTCTGGTGTTGGGGGGGCTCTATTGATTATTGTGAAAATACATTAAGTCTTTGAAAATTTTCTCCTCTGTTTCTGGGTATGAAGCAGATGAACTACCTATATAGTTATGATGAGCAAGGGCCCTAATCTTGCAGAATTGTGAATTTCAAGGCCCCAGGGTCAGGGATGGGGGTTGGGCTCTACTTATATACTGAAAATGAATTGTTTGAAATCTGCTCCTTTGTATTTATAAAACATTCTTTTTTTTTGATAGGCAATTTTAAGGGTGCCTTTTTAAAATAAACCAAGGGTCAGGGGTTTATTTCACAGTGTTAGGGGCACTAATGATTATTGCTGAATATTACTGATTAGTTGGAATGCATTTTTGTTTCCCTACCTTGCATATGGGTATTCAGTACCCCTGCGAGGTGATCATGAATAATTCATGAATTTCCTTGAATTTTTCGTGAATTTTATTCATGAAATGTTCATGAAACATTCATGAAGATCCTATGAACTTATTATTGGACATTTTCAAATCAATAACCCAAGCTAAGCAACTGCTAAGTGTATCATGTGTATTGATATGATGATCAATGGTGCCTCTTTCAAAATTGTGAATGCCATATATAGCATCTGGCTTAAAACATGAATCAAATTCAATAACTGGAAAGTTGTTGCAGAATGCTCAGGTGACCTATAAGGCCCGTGGGCCTCTTGTCTTATTGGTAATTTATTTTTAAGAAAAATATTTTTGCGAATGCAATGAACTTGCAAATTTGCTAAAAATTTATCTACAGCAAAAATTTACGGTATTTTGAGAGAAGGAAACAAATCCAACATAGTTTCATTTTTTCTTTTGCTAAATCCAGTCTTTTAGCCAACGTGTAGATTGACTTAAAAAATTTATTAGGATGAATTGATTGTAAAAGATTATTTTACAAACTATTGTCCTAAAAAAATGCTGTTTTTATACCCCCCGCAAACGAAGTTTAGGGGGGGGTATATTGGAATCACCATGTCCGTCTGTCTGTCTGTCTGTAGACGAGATTTTGTCCGGACCATTACTCAGAAACTATTGGAAGGATTTGTCTGAAAATTTGTACACATATTATTCACCATATAAAGTTGTGCCTGAAAATTTCATCTTGATTCGATTATTACCGGTATTTTGAATTTTACAGGTGTTTTTTTCATTTTTATTTTGTGGTTTTGTCCGGACCGTTTCTCAGAAACTATTGCAAGGATTAATCCGAAAATTTGTACACTTATTATTCACCATATGAAGGTGTGCACCTTGAATTTTCAACTCTTTTTGTTAATTTTTTTGCATTTTACAGGTTTTATTTTTTATTTTAATTGACTTGTTCATTTTGGGCTCATGTATAAGGTTTGAGACATAGAATCTAGAATATCTGTACAAAAATACTACAGCTTAAAACTACTCATAAAAACTTAAAAAAAAGAAACATCATCAAGTGTTAAAAACAGTTTTTACATTGCACAGAAGATATGTAATTTCATTTGTCTCTTGGGAATAATGACTGGACATGCATCCAGTTAAAGATAAATTAATGAGTTTGGTGTTGGAAGTTGTTAAGGCATATCTCTTATCAAGCGTGTGTGTTATCTAATCTCCAGGGAATAAGGCACAAGAATTAAAGATCTCTCTTCTTTTATTCTCTTAATTGTAATTTATTGTCTGTCAAAGCACTTCATTACTGGATGACCAGCTCTTTATTTTCAAAATGAATTTGATATAAAGTTATCAAGATTAATTTGATTTTGTATAATGTTTTTTTTTCAACAATCAGTTTGCAGAGTGACATAACACATAATTGCAGTATATTTTTTTAATGCAGAAATAAAAAAAAATAAAATTAAAAAATAAAAAAAAAATGTTACAATGGAATTACAATATATTAGTATTGATGTTTCATTTGGTTGCACCTTTGTTTCATTCATTAAGAAACATAATGAGCAACTAGAGCAAAGCTCGTTGCAAAGCAACGAGTAGGTCTTCCGTCCGGTTTTGACCGGAAGTGCCGGAAGTGACATCAAAAAAGAAAGCAATGAGCAATGTCGTCTCCAGTGACTATATAATTTCAATTTTGCATCCAAAACCTTCAAAATTAGCTATTTTTGGCTACTTCCGGTTTGACCAGAAATGACGCTGACGGACGAAAAATTAATTTTTATGCTCCCAGAGACATGTGTTATCCAAAAACTTGTCAAGAACGGCAAAAATACGCGTTTTCCAACTACTTCCGGTTTCGCCGGAAGTGACGACGCCGGACGTATTTTGACGACTGCAGTAGATAAAGCTTGACATTTTGAACAACTTTGCTTCTTTGACGTATTACAAATTCTCAAGACTTTTTGAGATATAAGGAAAAAACTTTCGGCCCCTCTAGGCCCTTCATTTTAGGGGCCAGCCCCTTTTGCAATATATCATTTGAAAGATCTTGGAATTCTACACTTCTTTTGTTCTATATATTTTAACAAAATGTTTCCAGGTAAAAAGATATCGTAGAAAAGGTGTTCAAAAATTTGAAATTCGCGATACGACTATTTTCGGGCCATAGCGAGCGCCGACGTACGTCACTTCCGATAAAAATGAAATACGTTATACATATCTATAGACTTTGGTCTATCATACCTGAAAGTTTCATGTTTCTATCTTAAGCCATTATTGAGAAAGTCTGGAGACAACATGACCCTTCAAAAATCATAAAATCGACAATATCTCCTAACCGGAAGTGACGTCATCAAATCGAAAAAAAATGCATGAGGTTCAAGTAATGCTATATAAGTCCTGAAAGTTTCATGGAAATCCATCGAGCCGTTTTCGAGAAATCGCGTGCACAAAATCGGTAAGAAAAAAAAGAATAATAATAATAAAAGTGAAAAAGAAACCTAAGAATAACAAGAAGGTCTTCCGCTGAAGACGGAAGACCTTAATTATATTTCACTGCAAATTTTTGTAAGTAAATTGTGAACACCTCTAGATCCATAAAGTATTTGTGAATTGGCACCTTCTCTGAAAAACCCAGCGGGGGGTATTTGTCCCTATTGGACAGTTCTAGTTAGAATTTAATTTTTTTTTCATTCTTCAGACACACAAATCACAAATGCAAACAATTGCAGTTACATACAAGACAAGTAAAAATGTGTGTAAAATTTTTTAAGAGATTAAGGAAAGACAGAAAAGAAAGAGTGGGAGGGAACAATATTTAGAAATTATGCTGAGTAGAACAAAAGCCAGACCAATCTGTCAATAACCATGATAACTATCCCGACAGATTTCTTTGCTAGCAAATACCGGTATTGACTTTTGTTTGTATGCTAGCTACCAAGGAAAAATGCATATAAATTTACTTGTACATCTGGCTGAAAAACAGATCTACATTGTATGTAAGCATAACTCAAAGACGTCATTTCATAATTTTAAAGGTGACAAAGAATTAAAAACAACTCTATAATAAAAGATATTTTACTTTATTTCAATTGCTATAAAAATAAGCAAAGAGCGCTGTCAGATTATGAAACATTTTTCATAAAACTGCAGCAGTACACCATATTTTATACAGAATTTCAACTTTTTCTATGCAAGAAGTCATTTTTTACCAGTAGTTTAATGTACACTGTACAAGAAGCATTTGTTTACAATGAGACAATTTTTTAAATCCATTACTCTCAGCACCAGATTTACATACATGTACATGAACAGGTAATTCATGATTTTAAAGCATAGAAAGTTTTAGAATTTATATTTCTTTAAAAAAAAATATATTTTTCTCAAATTTTTACATCACTTCATTGGCTTTAAAACTGCAGTGTATTTTTATGGATTGGAAAGAATGACTGTTTCTCTTCAATTGATTCCATTATTGTGGATATTAATTGGTAACTAATTCTTTACAACTCAGATCTTTCAATTTAAGACTGGTATTTTTTAAACAGTTGATCAATTTCATTTGAATCTCTTTCCATATTCACTGTATGAGATGTACCATAATAAATATTTCTTCTCTAGCTGTCTGTCAAAAATTTCCGTTTTCGAGTCGTATTCATGTAAGGCCTGTACACCCATTCAGTGTCTGCTGTGTCTGCATTTTCTATGGTTCCCAGAATTATCTGGTAAACTGAAAAAAAAAATAAAAAGAGAAACCTGAATAGAACTGCATTACTAAGTTCCCAAATACAAAAGATAAACAAGAAAAGTGCAAGTAAAATATTGATGTTATAACAATAATTTCCAAATCTACAATACAGTATTGAATTAATTACCTTTCATTTCAAATCTTGGTCCAACTTCTTGGAGTTCTATATCTCTCCCTTTCTCTGTCTTTTTGTAGATGTGATGCCTGAAAAAGTGAATGACAACATTGTAAATGTGAAAATACATTAACCTAAAGATATTAAAGTTTGAAGGTTTTAGGGTCATCCAAAGGATCAAAAGATCCACAATTTTCAAAGTACTGAGACTGTAGAAAGATCAGTTATTCCCTATTTTGCATTGACTTATTTATTGCAGCCATGGCATGAACCCATGGCCTTCTGAGCAGGAACTCTACAGTGAGGGTCTAACCTATGTAGGCTGAGACATATACTTAACAAGAGATGTTTGTAAAACACTTATCCCCCCTCCCCCAAATAACTGAAATTTTTCTGTGACCAAGGGGCATAAATCTGTCCAAATAGCTTGATTGTATCCAAAACAGAACCTGACCTAGATATTCTCATAATAATTCTGTATAAAAATTTCATATCAATACGTGAAACCTCGGCGAAGAAAATGAACGTAAACTGATGGTGGACCGACCGCCTGACAGACAGCAGCAAAATATTATGCCCTCCCTTCTTCAAAGGGGAGCATAAAAAATTGTGAGCTAATGAATATCACACAGACTTTGAAGACATATACACAGAACTGATTATGTATCATTTCTTACCCTGTGCATAAATTTATACATGGGCATAATGGATTTCAATCACTTCTCACCTGAATGAAATGAAGTCCTCATCGTTAGCAAAGGTAATAACTCGTTTACTTTCTTCTTTAGGGACAGGAAACAAGTATTTCAGAATACTTTTCACCTGTAAAATTAAAATGCATCATAATTGCCATTTAGTTATGAAATATTTGACCTTAAATATCATTTATTCATTATTTGGTCTCGCAAGGCAAACACGTATATTAGATGAGTGATAATACAGTAACTGTAACACAATTCTATGGCTTTACTTTTTATATATTCAATCCTTTTAAAAAAAAGTTCTTTTAATCTTGTGGAGCATCCATTGACCAATATTTTAAATTACATGTAAGAATTATTAAAATACTGTTGATAATAAGAAAACCTGACTAAACCTTTTCCAAAGCCTTGAGTAGAGGTTGTGGAAGATGACTTACCCTGTTCATAGAGCCTTGAGGAGAAGTTGTGGAAGATGACTTACCCTGTTTCCAAGCCTTGAGGAGAAGTTGTGGAAGATGACTTACCCTGTTCACAGAGCCTTGAGGAGAAGTTGTGGAAGATGACTTACCCTGTTTCCAAGCTTTGAGGAGAAGTTGTGGAAGATGACTTACCCTGTTCACAGAGCCTTGAGGAGAAGTTGTGGAAGATGACTTACCCTGTTTCCAAGCCTTGAGGAGAAGTTGTGGAAGATGACTTACCCTGTTCACAGAGCCTTGAGGAGAAGTTGTGGAAGATGACTTACCCTGTTCCCTAGCCTTGAGGAGAAGTTGTGGAAGATGAGATGAGGATATTGTTCAGACATAGTTCCCACATCAGGAATATCATGTCTCATTACCACATTAGACAAGGTAAAATAAGCTGTGGGTCCAAAGGGGAGGTGACACACAATCAGGCCATCTAAAGAAAGACAAAAGTAAGGGTGCATTATACTCAGATTCTAGTGAACTTGGGGACAATTTACACATGCACATGTACCTCACACAGTTGAACTTTGCTATCTCAAATATTTTGATAGGGTTGGAAGTGAGTCCCAAAGTTTTTTTTTTCCTTATATACTAGCATTAATTCTCAATGACTCAAACCATTGGAAATTTTAAACTATTTTGGTCCCATGGTCCCAAGTTTGAGATAACAAGGTTTGACTGTAGATCAAGACAAACACATGTTGTGGAAGTCATCTCATATTATGATGAGTATTCGTCAAGTTTAGCCATAGACCCTTTTCCTATGACATATTTTGTATAGGAGTTATTCCCCTTAGCCTCCTTATTGTAGGGCAACATATCCAGATCCCTTCATTATTCAACCAATTTCAATTTGTTATACTGGTTACTGAGGTAAAGATAACACTATTTTTCTTATGAATATACGTTTGTCAAAGCCTCTATTAATTCATAATTTTAAGATTGTAAATATTTCCCCCCATATATTTTTTGCATGCATGTTTAAAATTGGTTGCTCAAAGAGGTAAATTCACTACTTTGCCCTACAAGATGGCGGCCAAGGGGAATAACTCCTAGGGAAAATATGTCGTAGGAAAAGAGTCTATTTTGGTGCAGCTTGACTCTTATAGTAAGATTTTGAAATTTGTTCTAATTGTTTAGTTTACAGGATCCTAAAATTCTGAAAACAGTTCAAAACATTAAATATTTTTATATTAATTACCAGAATTTGAAATGCAAATAAATTCAATTTTGACATCATTCATTTGGCAATGCATTTCAGGTCCTCTTAAGCAGAATTGCCTTCAATAAACACGGATTCCACAAGACTTAAATTCACTCACCAGGCACACCTCTGTGTTCATGGAGTAAGATGAGATCTGATACATCATTTGACCTGCAGGCTTCCACCAGCTGCTTCATTTCATAGTTACCACGATTTATTCTCTGACTGTTTGGGAAAATCAATCGCACTTCCTGTAAGGAGAGAACAATTTTGTATAAATCCTAGTCTAAGGATATTTCTTTAATTTAAACAAATGATTCCTTTGTGAACTTGATCAAATTTTCACCTTGCATACAACAATTGTGATGTTTTATGGTACTGCTGTATGCATCATACCAGTTGTCACATTTTAATGCTAGATGCATGGTTTGATAAATGGAAATATCATTCTAGATTTTTTTTTTGGTAAAACAATGTGTATACACATTGGGAAAAGTTGTTTCTTTGGCTGATTTTTAAGTAAAGTACATTTATCTGATTACAATATTCTTTTTTACTTGTTTTATTGAGTCTTATTTTTGTGGCCATGTAAAAACATGACACAAGTATAAAAAGATAAGAAAACAACACAAATCTCACAGGTATGTGGAAAGAGATTAATAAACTTCAAAAGTTGGAAGTTAACCTTGGCAAACTGTTTGAGTTTAGAGCTAGGGTCCCTGGAAGTGGTGATCATTATTTTGGGATCCTCCACACCAGCCCATTTGTACTCATCATCCACATGGTTCACAATGCCTGCAAAAGAGATTTATCCATAACTACTTCATTATGCAAAAAAGATGAGCTGGGAATTTAATGATGAAAGATGGATACCAACCCTCTGCTCCTGGGCCTTCCCAGTCCAATGTCTTCTGGATATCAATAGCATCCTTCCGTAAGTCTGATGGAATCTCTTTGTTTTCTGAAATATTAAACAAAAATATTTTAAAGATGACATTTGCTAAATGTACATGCAGTTTACTGTTATTTTGCTTTTTAAAGAAGTATGAAATGTTATTTATACATATATACATGATTTTTTTACATTTCTTGGAGGACATGTATTTATGGTTTTCTTAATAAATGAAAATAACAAAAATAAATCCCTACAAAAATTACAAATTTTACACTTATTTTACAGTATTCTCCCATGCTTTACCATCAAGAACCTTTGCAAGTCGTTGTTTCTTTTCTAGGATGGTCTTGTCTCTGTCTTCAATAGTCTTCCTATACAGGTACTCTCTCCGTAGACGAGCTTGTCTTCTTAACTAAAATATTATTTATTAAATTTGAAATAAAATTTAAATGTTTTTAGTTTGATGAAGCTGAAAATTTTAATTTCTAATCACTCAGCTGGTTCATATAAGTCCTAAAACAATTAATATATCCTCAAAGTTAATATCATTAAGATATTTTTAGCTAAATGTATCTGGGAACTTAAGCTATTGAAGGTAGCTTCATTTCCCCTCTTCATGGACAGAACTAATAAATGATTTCATAGGGGCTTGTCTTGCAGATTATACTGCTAAAAATAAAATGACTAATAAACATGATAAATTGTTTGTAAAAAGGAAAGAGTTAATCTCAGTGTCTCATCCAGATATCTGACTTCTCAAGACCATCCTTTATTAGCCTTTTAGCTTTATTCAAGGTTCAATGCATTTTGCACATATTTTACCTTAGCATATATACCTCCTTTTCATTGTTATTGTGATATTTCAAGTCATTCAAGTAAATTTTATTTATAGTCGGCACATATATACAGTTCAACAGAAATAACATGAGCTGTGGTTAGCTGCAGATCTGTAGGGTTATGGTTATATAAATTGTGTCTTTGACCATAACATCACAGTAAAATATATGAAACCATAAACCTACAGATCTGCAGCAATGGTAATCTCTTTAACCGACATTAAAGAGTAAAACTCTACTTTTATAAGAATCTAAACGTGATGATACAAACACTTCGTCATTTTGTCTACTTTTAAAAAACACTATACGACAAGCTGACACGAATCTTACCATTGTTGGTTCAAGAATAATCACACATTGTGCATTTTAAAAAGACATCAAAGATCAACACAACGTGTTCAACAAGAGGAAATGAATGTCGCATGCTAAACTCGGAGTATGGATCGTCAATGTTTCACATTCCGGATAAAGGCTGCAGGAAATTAAATAAGGTTTTTATCAGCCATCTAAACTAATAAAAGATCGTTCTCAGTAAAGACAATTAATATATATCTGTTGGGTTTATGTGATTCATCATATAGAATTAAAAATGAATATAATTTTGTAAATGATGAATACGGATAAATTCCGGTTCTGCAACTTATTTTGATTTAACTTTATCCGGTAGCGAAACGTGAAAGACGTACAAAGCACGAACAATGTTCTTTTTTGTGAGAAATGGATAATATATTGCTTCATATGATCATAGAATAGATACAAACCATGGTAAGATGGATAGCGATTAATTTACGTTATCAAAATTTTGATTTGTTGTGTGTTATTTCACTTTAATTCAATTTAACAAATAAATTGCAAAAAGGGAAACTTTTAAATCCTCTTATTGTTTTGATGCAGCAAGTATATTAGGTACAGATGTATAACGGGCATTTTATATTTGCAGGCTAGAAATAGTGAGAAGGCCATGTAAGTATAGACAATATACACAATATGTATATAAACAGGAAGCACAGTGGCTTGCTCTTTACAAAAAACAAACAAACAAACAAAAACAAAAAGAAACATACCTTTTATATAAAATATATCTTAATATGTTGGCAGTGCAACTGTTAGGACAAGCGCATATATCTATTCAGTTTTATTTTAGATAATGCTTGTCAAATCGCACGTGACATTAGCTACATCTAGACGTCATTTGTATAATTACCAAATCAAAGTTTGAATAGTGCCAATTTTAATAAAGAAACACATAATCTACTATGTATCTGCTATATATACATTAAAATCAAGGTTTTTTTTGATTGACTTACCGTGAGAACATAGTTTGCAGCGAGATGCATTTTGCCAAGGATTATGAGACCACAGGTATTTGCGGGAAAAAAATCATTTGGTTCAATGTGCAAAGTTTTAATTTTGTCCCCTCCCAGGGGTTGTTTTAGGAGCTCGCAGTGACAAGCCCTGATTGCTGCACTCACTAAAAATCTATTATATTACCCAAAAAATTAATATTTACACTCTGGAATGAAGGGAAGTAATGCTAAAAACTCATTGTAGTATTTGAAACAAGGTCCCCCCACCCCACTTCTCCTTGAGTGGCATGAAGCCACTAGGACCGAACATGCAATCATGCAATCAGGGCAAAGACAGCTGTTTCCCACCCCCAAACTGCTGTAGCACTAAACTATTTGTGCACTGACAATTAAATCTGCCTAACTGCTACATCCCTTTCAAATGTTTAATTCCTGAATATACCAACCTAGTTTCTTCTCTGGCAGGTGTAGGCACCAAATTACTGGGTATTCAGAACAAAGCTTTTTAAAACTTTATAACAGATAAATGGAAGTATAATAATAACAAAACAAAATCAAGCACCCCAAACACTTTGTTATAAGCAAGTTTAACTATATTTTGTTTATTTTAGGACCACCTTGGCCAGGTGGAGGGCTGCTCATCTGGAAGACAAGTCAAAAGAACAGGTAACATAAATCATGCTTCATTGATCTGAAGTATGCAAGGCTGAATAAGAACTGAGTTCTGTACTGATTCCCCACAGAACCCAGAGGCTTTGTCATGCTTTCTACACAGTATCGAGGCTTTGTGATTAATTATCTCCACAAGCAATATTTGACATTGTGAAAACTTTTTTGACATTGTAAACTTGTAACTTAGTTTTAAATTGAAATAAAATGAGGATACTCTTATACTGCTTTCAATGAACATAGCATGAACTTAGAAATTTTGAGCAATCGCAAGTGCCAATCTCTACACTGCTCTAGGTTGTAACAGTCCTGTAGAGTAGAAGGCATATGTAAAATTCATTTTTGTAAACTGAATTGCCTTTTAAACATTTTAAAAGCAGTTTCAGTTAAATAAAAGAGAGGAATATATATATATTAGGAAAGAAGGCCATACCTTGCTACAGAATGTGATGACTTGAAGAAGGCTGAGAAATGGAGGAGACAAATCATCGGGGAAATCTCAAGGAAGATGGCCCAGATTCAGAATGGTATGTAAAACGTTTATCAGAACAAATCAGTAGGCAAATCACTAGGGATATGGAACTTTATAAAAAAAAAATTAAGCTTTTTCTCTGTAATGCAAAATTAATTTCAACCAGTGATGATATTTGAAGCATTTATGGATAGAGGGTGCATGCATAAGCATGTTAATTTTATGGCTCTATTTCCAGATATTAGACTTTTTTCCTGCAATTGCTTGCTTTAACATCTGTATCCAGACAAGTTTTGTTCTATGTTAAGTACGATATTTTTACTGCCTACAATGTTACCACTTTTACTTTATAGCTGGTCTTGGAGAATTTAAACTGAGAGATCTGAACGATGAAATCAACAAACTTCTACGTGAAAAGGGACACTGGGATGACCAGATAAAGGCACTAGGTGGACCTGATTACAAGGTATTAGTTACTGTATAAAATCTCTGTGTAAGGGCGCACCAAAAAATTTGTTGTTCGTCATACCCGCGAGCTCGTATTTAAACAAAAGTATACAAATAATATTAATTTAAAATTCCCGCACCATGGGAATTTTGTGCTGTTTTCTGTTCTATTACCGCTCTATTCATCGTACTTTTAATCTACTTACTCTGAAAATCAGAAAAAATATAAAAGTTTTTCACTCCCCGCCTATAAATTTTGCCTACCAAAAAGTAATATTATTATTATTGAACCGCTAGCCCGCTTGTACTTTTTTTCATCAAATGTCCTACGAACAAGAAATTAAATTGGCGTGGCCTAAAGAAAGCAGTTGATCACAGCAATACTCCTCATTTTGTTGGTCATTGTTCATTGCATTCACTTAAAAAGAAATCAGAAGCTTTAACTTTTCCACTTTAGATTTACATGTTTTAAAGTCATTTCAAAGGAGATCCAGTTGTGAAATGGTAATTAGGAGAAATAGATTCACCGTAAAATAGTGGTATAGGTTGCTGAACTATGCAAATGAATGAAATGTCTAGTAGGGATATATACATTTTTTTAATTCACACTTTGCTTAATGAGAGTTTCATGTGATAATTTTGCTTTTGAATAGAGAGTTGGACCTAAGATGCTGGACAAAGAAGGCAAGGAAGTCCCAGGAAACAAGGGCTACAAGTATTTTGGTGCCACGCGAGATCTGCCGGGGGTCAGGGAGTTGTTTGAACAAGAGCGTAAGTACGAACTCTGAAGAGTAATAGTATAAGGAGGCCTTTAAAGGAAAAAAGTAGTGTAAAGAGGCCTTTGAAGGATGTAGTTAACTTTGTGTTAGATTATTCTTTTGAACAATGAAAATTACTTCAAAATTTTTTTTGTAATTGTAATTGCTCTTTGAAATGCAAAATCCTTTTGAATCAGATTTTCACGAGCAGTTGTTCTTGCATAATAATGTGAAAATAAAGTTCTCAAGGAGGAAAATGGATTTACTTTTAATAGCAATGTAAATGTTTCTCTAGATACAAGATTAAGTTACATGTATCTGATTATGAATTTACATGTACCTGGTTTTTTTTTCTATTTAAAGAAAATATGCAAAGGCTTGCTCAAAGAAACACACAATATTGTGATTTTGTTTACAGAGCTACATTTATAATTCAATTTTACAGCTCCTCCCCTCCTCAGAAAAACCAGAGGTGAGCTGATGAAAAATATTGACGCTGATTACTATGGTTACAGAGATGAGGACGATGGTCGTATTCTTCCCCTGGAACAGGAAATGGAGAAAAAAGGTTTTAAAATCAGCAGTGTTGCTTAATATCATATTTATAATCATTAAAGATCTCAATATGAATATTATTTCTAAACTGTTTAGCTTACATGAAATTTTTAGATGAACAAAACAAAATAAAATGAGTATCGCTTATAAAAAATTCAGTTTCAATATATTTTTGTCAGTGTACGATTTGACAGATTTATAATTGTAATGCATTTTTTTTAGTAATGGCCCAGAAAATAAGAGAATGGAAAGAAAAAAAGGAATCTGTCAGCCGAGGGGAAACTCAGGAGGAGAAGGAAATGGAGACAGAAGAGGAGGAACCACTGTACCAGAAAGAAGAGGTTTGTTAAGGTTCATTGATACTCTGATAAGAGAGATAACTCTTAATGACATAAATGTCTATTATTCCTTTATGGTTTTGCCAAGTTGAAGTGTCTTTTTTGTCCAATTTTGCTCCACAAGTTATGCTATAATTGTTTGTATTTTACTTATAGAATACATTTCTTTTGGAAAATCATTAAGGTTCAAGCAAAATTTTATATGAATGAGCAGAGTGTTTATGAACCTTAATTTGATATGATGACGAGCATGAAAATATTTTTTTGCCACCTGTAATTAGTTGTAGGAAATATTTCCGACCATTATATTTTCCCTTGTTTTGCAGTATGTGGATGAAGTAATTGCAGAACCAGAAGAAGAGAAAGCAACAGAGGAAGAACATTTTATTGCCCATGTACCTGTCCCCTCCCAGAAAGAGGTAAGATAATGAAGGCAACAAGTTCTAATTTCAGATCTGAGTCTAGCATTTTCTAAACAATAGAGTTAATGCTTTGAAAAGTATGCATACTTGGTTTTTCGTTTGCTAATATTTCATTTATTTTGTTTTGTAGATTGAAGAGGCGCTCATACAGAGAAAGAAGATGGAGCTGTTACAGAAATATGTCAGTGATGACCTTCAGGCAGAGGAGGAGGAGTCAAAGAAAATGCTGGGCTTATGATTGGTGGACCAAAAAAAAGACTTATTTCTATTGGTTGAATTGTCAACCAATCTCTGAATAGTGTTCTCAAATTGAAACCTTGCTGGGCAGCAATATAACAAAGTGCTTGTTTTTGACTAATTTGAATCTGGACAACTATTGAAAAATATTCCACTGGTGTAGAAAACAATTTGTCTGAACCATATGTGTAGTTCATACTCTATATGATCTTAAGTACCAGAAACCTGGCAAATTAATACAAAAGAGTGGGATTTAATATCACTGTACATATCATCAATCAGCAGAATAGAAGGAATATACTTGTATAACATACACATCTCATTTTTCATGCATTTTGTACCTTGTACAATTTTATTGTATATACAATGCATATTTTCATAAAACTATCTTCAAATAAAATTTCTTTGTTTTATTTTATGCAATGACTTGTGAAAAAAGTGCAAATTTAGTTTAAATGCATTTTACCTCTCCTGAATGAAGTTGATATGAGCTTTTGCTATAACCCTGGCATCAGCACTAGACCCATGGCCAGTTAAAGTTGTGCCAGGTGGTATACATAATATACATGTAGTATATTATGGAGAGAATTTTAATACCTTCGTAATCGAAGATGTGGGGCTATATAGTTTTTGCCCTGTCTGTCCACAATATATAGTTTTTGAACCCCCCCCCCCCCCTTGTCTGTCTATTTGTCAAAAATATTAACCTTGCTCATAACATTTGAGTGGGAGGGCTAAAAATTTTCTATCTCACAGGTGTATTTCTTGTGATGACCTTTCTTTGAGTACCACCAATTTGACCTCGGTATTAAAGTTTGACTTTTACAAAAAAATATCAGACTTTCACCAGTTGGTCATAAGTTTTGAACAATAGGTGCAAGGGCTTCTCATACTTCCCATGTATTATATTCATTGTGACAAGGCTTTTCAGTGGGTGTAAATATTTTTGACCTTGGAGTTTGACCCACTTAAGGACGCTCTAAACACTGCACACTAAAGACCTGTATTTATTGTGTGTCGGTCAGCCTGGTTCGATCGCCGGTGGCTAGATAGCTCAGTTGACCAGAGTTTCAAGGGGCCCGGGTTCAAATCCCGGTCTGATCCGCTGCATTTTCTCCTTTCCTGTTACATTTGGTGCCTTGACCAGGATTTGACAGGTGAAAGACCTGCGAGGGATGAGCCTGGGTTGGGGTCTTTGGAGGGCCAAAACCTTTAAGGAGGGAGGAATGTGGCGGTCAGCCGGGTTCGATCGCTGGTGGCCAGATAGATCAGTTGGTAGAGCACCTGACCGGAGTTTCAGGGGGCCTGGGTTCGAATCCTGGTCTGGTCCGCTGCATTTTCTCCTTTCCTGTTACATTTGGGTAGTTTTATGCAGTTAGAGTGATCTGCCCTTAGATGTAAGATTAAAGAAATTTTTATTCACCGTTAATAACATAATTTTTAATAGATTAAAATATTTTTAGCATTATATAAGACCAAGAGTAAGAAATTTAATTAATTATTTTCATTAATTTTCCCATTGTAAGTAAACAACAGTGATTTCTGCTCACAAATAGTCCATTGTCTTTGAACATTTTTCCTGTGCAAATTAGGCACGTATCCATGTTCTGAATGAATGAAAGAGTCTCAATATGCGTATCTTTTTTTTTTTATATTTTTTTTCTCTGAGTCCAAAAAACACTTTCTGTTAGTGTTTAGAGCTTCCTTAAGAACTTTTTCACTTTTGATCAGTTAGAACCAGGGCTTTCAATATTTCAGAGGTATATGAGAAAATTCAACCCTCACCATAAGCTGCCATAAGAGGGTATCAGTATTTCACAAACACATCTTGTTTATCTATGAAAAGAAAGGTTGAAAACATCCAGTGCCTACGGATCAAAGATGGAATTTTAATTTGGCCTCGACATCTTGCATTTCCTTGTTCCTCAATATATATTCACCCTTCCATTGCATTTATTGTACTTGTCAAATAATTACAAGCAAAACAACAACACAAGGTATAATAAATCAACATTTTATTCTTCACCAAGTTAATATCCTGATGCAAGTCTTGTGTTCAACAAAGGTAAAATGTTTGGGGGATGACAGAGAGTTCACAGATAACAAAAAGACATATCAATGTAAAATCCAAGCTTAACCAAACACTCAAAACACCCTGCTAACAGACATAACATTTCCTTTTAGACTAATACTGTAGAATTTATGTGCTTGTATTGGTGCATATTTTTGTACTAGCACGGCTCCACTAATCTATGTATTAAGTCTGCCAAATGAATATAAATCTCAAATAATGTGGGAAAAATATTTTGGATTACATATTCAAGACTGCTGAAAAATGTACATATAACTCAATGACATCAAAGTATGGGACACTGTAGTGAGAATCCAATGATAATGAATTTGTGGAGACTTTATGTAACGGGAAAGTTTCAATGTTGCAATTCATTTCTTTACAATTGTCATCTTAGCTTGTTTAATTTTAAGAAAAACTAAATAAAAATCTGTAGAATTAGCTACAAATAGGAAGAAAGTAGGTAAACATAGATATGTGATACATGTATGTGTAGAAGTAAAAAAAAATTCCACTGACAATTCAGCTTCACTGACTGACCTTCTATAGAAAAGTGATTACACAATAAAATACAGTACAGTTGTATATAACTTAACACTAATTAACACTAATAAACTTATTCTGCTACCCTAACCCCTTAACATAATAAATTCTTAACAAGGCTTTATTCACTTGATACAAATGTCAAACTCACTGGGAAATCTGGATTCTTTTTTTAAATTAAATAAAAGAAATAAAAGATAACAAACAAAAAAAATACATGTACATGTACTTATAATTAACAAGAATCATTTATACAAATATTGAAAAGGCATAGTCTGCCAAAAAAAAAGAGAGAGGGAGGGAGAGAGAGAAAATTGACTGATATGATTATATTCAGGAACACAGGGTTTGCAATCAAACAAAAACAATTATAGTTAAAACAGGTAAACTTATGTATCTTGAACATCGACAAGTCAAATACACACTACCTCTGGGTATTTTTCAAAGTGAGTTGGAAAGTCCTGCAGACTTTACAATCTCAACAAATAACTCAAACATCTCAAAAAATATCTCAAACATCTCAAAAGTTTTAAATCATCTTGTCACGTAATGATGTTCGAGCAGATGGATTTTTTAATTACATAATCCAGGTCACCTTGACCTTCACATTAAAAAATCTCCCAAGGTCACAAATACTAAGAAATTGTAATAAATAAGAACTAAACTACACATGGATAATCTCTTAAGTGACTCTACAATACATCTGAGTCACTTTAAATAACAAGTTTCAAATTCTCAACAATTCCGTAGAAGAAAATAAAAACTCCACCTGTTTCTTGATTATTCTGTTAAAGCTCTCACGATTCCATTGTCAGAAAAATCAAAAAATAAAATTGGCACACACATATATTTTGCAAACAGAACTTTTACTCCACATTTAGTAATACATGTAGCTTTATTTTACTACAAGCACTTTTAGTATGGCGCAACAGTAGAAAATATATTCTCTGTAAAAGTATTCCACTTCAATATGGATCAAGTTTGTCAAAATATAAATAGCACTATCTCTTCAATCATTATTAACACTTCCTTTCTTCTCACACAGTTTTTCACATTTGTTTTCTTTTCACAGACAATGGAACAAAGCAAATAAGTTCCCCGATCATTGATTCAGCAGTCAAACATTTAAATAGAATTTTAACATTCCCTTTCTGCTTTTTTGCAATTTCAGCTTTGTATAAGAATTAATTCAGTCTGTCAGTTTGTTCTTTGAAAATTGCACGTTACTCTTCACTTTTTGGCATACACAAGTCAAGCTTACTGCATTGACATTAGTAACCATCTTACATTCTACTTCAAAGTGAAGCTTGTTTCATTTTCTGTTCAAATCTGAACAATATAAATGTCTTGTAGCAATTTGCTATAATTAATAATATTTAATTAATTAAATATGTTAATCATTAATTCGTTAAATATTAAATTTATAAATCACAACACTTCATTTTGCAGATCTAGTGGGGGTCAAATGTATATGCAACACTAAATACCTTTAGAATGCTTTCACATCCACAAAATTAATAAATACATGTAATGTATCACTATTAATGCATGTAAAGAATAATAAAAACAGTACTAAAAAAGAAAAAACAATTTGTTCGAAGCGTAACAAAAAATGATTCTTGTATGAGACCCAGACTCACTTCTATGATAAAGTCATGCATGCTCCTGATTTAAAACTTGTGTGATATTTCTTATAATGGCACTAGGATGAAATTGGTAGATGACAAAAGTAGAGAATGAATTGTGTGGTTAGTTATATAAAAAAAAGTCTTGGAGCAAGCTAAAAATAAAAACAAATAAATCGATTTCTTAACACTTAAATAGCAATATCATCATAAGAATTTCTCTTTTTCAAGTGTGAGTCGTACAGCGTCAAATACATTTTCTGTCGTGTGTTTCGGTTTCACGAGTTCGGGGTCCAGGACGAAGTCTCTGTGGTTACGATGTGATGCCGTGTGGCTGTTGCTGAATATTCCTGTACACACCAGAATGGAGGAACAACTAGTGGAGTAATTGCCCTGCCCTCCTTCCTCGGAAACTAATTCCTCATCATCATCCTCAAATTCAAAGTCGGCCCCGCCCCCTCCAGCAGCCATTTTGCGCTTCATTTTCTTCTGGACTTTGTGGGCCTTTCGCTTTTTCAGGTAACGGTCGTAAACATTGGCACCGTATATATCTGTGTTGGGGTTATCGCTGTAAATGAACCATAAATATTTTTTTTAAAATAATGTCCACACATTTATTATAATAAAAATATCAAATGTTTTAAACCAGCAAATGCTTTTTAAAATAGTTTATGATTGAGATACACAATGTGAAATCACCAATTCTCATGAGGGTTTAATTTTTCGTTGTTTTTGAGTGCAATAAGACTCTAAATTTATATCCCACTTGAAATGTTAAATTTTTATGTATATAAATTATTCAACTCTTCTCCAACTAGGAGATCAAATTTCTAAGAATCAATTTTTCTCCTAATAACTATTTTTCTTCTTAAATTTGAGCCCAAAATATGTGAGTTTATAGTAACTCTTTTCAAAAACATATAGTAACTCTTTTCAAAAACAAAGTTTTAAAAGAAATCTTTAATATTCTTACCCCACACAGTATATAGATTTCAAACTTCTAAATCCCAGTTGCTTTGCATGTTTCCACAGAACGTTGTCTGCATAATGATAAGTAAAAAGACTAGGCTTTCCGAGTAAGGCAGAGTACTTCAGTTCTCTTCCCGTGTATTGCTATGAATGAAGAAGCAAGGTTATTAGTATAACTGTAGTTGAAAATCTCTAATAGTGTCACTGTGGAAACAGTTGATTAAAGTTCCACCAGAGTTAGATAAAGAATGATAAAGATAGCTGTCTTACTTGATATGCAGTTTCCAAAAAGGTCAAAAACATTCCATGGCCAAATCTAGAGAAAGAAGTGTAAATTCCTATTATGATCAAAATTATTTATATATACTTATCTGAAGTTGCAATAATTAATATCTTTCTGCTTTTTACCTCTGCTGTTTCAATAATTAAGGTCAAGGAAATTAAAATACCCATATCAAAATTGTAAAAACAAATTTTCAAAGGAACGCAATCCTGTGTTCAAATATTCCAACAACGGAATCTATTTCTCAGTTCTTGAACAGCCCTGTATAAATACCAGGTACAGTAAAACACCCTTGTAATGAACTGCCAGGTATGGGCAATATTGCTTCATTATAAACTTAATTCGTTATATCTGTTAGCTTTACAATACATTTCAAAATCACGGGAATGAAAATCACCTCACTAAGAGCATCATTTCATTATAAGCGTGTTCACTATAAGTGCATTTTACTGTAAAACACAACTATTACGCTTATTGTTACCTTGGTATAGGAACTTCTGCCATCCAGAACAAGTCCATGTTACAGGCCACTATAGGGAGGTGGGTGGAGGGGAACTCTTTGGGGAGATGAGAGGGCATTCCGTTACAGACCAGCACGTCCACGATAAGCTGTAGCTTGGAGTCCCATTGATTGGGTTCTCCAAATAACACAACCGCTGAAGAAAAAAAAATTGGATTATTATTAATTTATATAGATCTATGAATGAAACATTTATGCATTTATACCCCCGTATTTTTTTCTAATCTTAGTTCTTTAGTTTTTTTTTTATTTTTCATGTCAATGGTAAAATTTTTCATATCAGTTTCATTACCACACACTTTTTTTTAAAATTAAATCATACAACATGCTTTAGACAAGATTTCAGAGTTACTCCCCTTTAAAGCATCAATTACATATAATTAAATATAATTATTACCTTCAATTGGTTTAAAGTTGGCAAATTTAACTGGACAAGGCTGAAATTATAAAATTAAAAAGTCATTGGTTTACAGCATTCACAATATAACTCTGCTTACTAAATGACAAAATCAATATAACAGTGCTGTGCAGGGCTTAACTTCTGCAATTAGGCTTTCAATATGCTAATCCAAGCAAAAATAAACTCCATACAGACTGAAAATCTACACCTCCCTAATTCTTACTGAATAGTGCAACAAAGGGCAATAAATACTGAAATATTAGCAATAATATCAAAAAATTTTTTTTTGTTGAGTGAATTATGTTTGCACTTGAAAAAAAAAATGTCTTGCTAATTTCTGGGGGAAGCCAGAAATGCAATCAAATATGTCGCAGCAATGTTTGACAATAAACATGATGAAGTCTTACAGTGAGATTAACCAAACATAGATGAGCTAATACTGGAGCAATCCAATGAAGAACTTGAATATTTCTCTTGGAGAACAAAGGAGCCCCATTCATTGCAGGAACATCAATTCATATAATCTAAGACTATGTAATATGTTTATTCTTTTCAGTCCTGTTTAGTAAATAGCATATTGATCGCAATAGCTTTTCTCCTTTCCTTGTCCTCAACCATTTTCCTTTTCTTGCAAAAACCTTTTTTCTCCAAGAGAAATTTTAATTAGACAAGGTAATGCAATATGCCCCTTGTGTACATTTGAATGATGAAATATCTAGAAACGTACAATATCCTATAAAAATTTACAGTGAAACTTGTTTAATCCAAATGTTGTGCATTCCGAAGACTTGCTTGATACAATGTAAATTTTAAGTTCATTTCAGAAGTTTCAATTGTGTAAAATTAATGTCTTTTATCATATACCTAATGTGTATCACTGAATTTTACTGCTGATTTTATGCAATCACGTGACATCGTGATCCGAAATTCTGGATCACCACACTGTGGTTCACCACTCTCTGAAACTGATGACGTAGTACACAGAAACATGACGTTATCTTTCTTGCGCGTCAAAAAGTCCCTCGTTATTATGCTTTGTTTTATGGATAAATGTTGTACAATTGATCTCCAAAGTTTTCTTTCGCTATATTTTTCTAGTTATGAGGGGGTATATTCGTATAAGTTCAGGCGCGGATCATCAGATCAAACTCGACGCTTCGCATCTGTTTGAAATTCGATGTGATAAGACCCTTATCAAGTTACTGTTATAATAATATATATTTATTATATACCTAACGTGTATCACTCAATTTTACTGTAGAATTAACGCAATCACGTGACGTCGTGATCCGACTTTTCGGATCACCACACTGTCGTTTTCTGAATCCATATCACCACTCTCTGAAACTGATGACGTATTACGCAAAAACATGACGTTATTATTTTTTTTTGCACGTTAAAAAGTCCATTGTTTTTATGCTTTGTTTTATGGATAAATATTATACAATTGATCTCTTAATTTTTATCTTGCTATATTTAGCTAGTTATAAAGGGGTAAATAATAAATTCATCATTATAACAGTTTCCAAAGAATTTTTACGTTTCAAAAAATTTTGTTATAATAATATATATATCTAGAATGTTGTCTATTCCAGCCAATTTCTTTGGAACCAGTGGTCAAGCCGTAAATCTGGAAATTTTTACATCCATTTTATTTTGCAAACTCGGGTCAAAATGCTGTTGTTTAATTTTTACGTTTCAAAATTTTGCAAATGACCACTGCTTTGTTTACATTTTCTTATTGCTAATTTATTTTAAAGAAAAATATTTTTGCGAATGCAGTGAAAATTTATCTACAGCAAAAATTTCCAGATTTATGGTACACGTTTTGCTGTAATCCACAATTTACCTCCACTTTCCTGTGTGAATGATCCACCATGTCTAAATATGGAAACAGTTCCCTGAGTTGATCTACAGTAGTGATGTTGGTGAAGCCCAGGTCCCGGGCGATGCCCTCGATGGGCCCCTGCCCACAGATCAGGGTGTGCATGTTGTGGAAACGCTTAAACATCTTGAGTGGACTGTGGGACATCACAAGCTGTTCTGTACTAATCTACAAAACAGTCAGAAAATACATTTAATGTCAAATTAAAAAATATTAAAAGATTAAATAATTAAACATTCAATACAACAAATGTACTTAGCTATCAAGACCATGTATATTACCGGTTGGCAAAAAAGTGCATCAATAGCAAACTTTCAATTGTTCAAATCAAACCTCATGATAAATTTACAGAAGAAAAAATACAAATCAAATGAGAGTCAAATTGCACTGTTTACAAACCCTTTCCAACTTGCATAAAAATGTGCTATTTCATGATGCACACATGCCAGCATCATTGATTTAAAAATTCATCTACAATCCAAGAGGCTCATAGGACCTTTTCTTATACACCTTGCTTGGGTCTCTAAGGCCTAGAAGATGAGATTCTGAGATTCACTGACTCATGGATAGGGCACAATTCCACTGCTGGTTTACCACCCCCCACCCCCAACCCCTACCCCCATAAGAGTTGAATGAAGACAACTGTACACAACTACAAATGTCCATAAAGGGGTTTGAGCCAGTGACTGATCTTTACAATTACTGGCCAGGTACCTAATCATTGATCATTTATGCCTCACAATCAAATCAGCCTTTGTTATACTTTTTTTATCAATGGCATAATTTCTTTATTTTTAAATAAAAGAATTATTAAAAGTACAAAAGGAAGATATGTGAATTAATAATATCATGGTACTTAATTTTCATTTAATTCATATTTTACAATATTTAGTTTTTCAGCCAGTGCAAGAAATTGTTAATTGAATAATTGACACTTAAAATTTATAAATATCTAATGGTCATAATTAACATGATAAAGTAATGATCAATATATTATACATCAATGAGCACATGATGAGTAAAACAGGTATTATGTCACATCAACTAAGCTGCCATCATTAACTTGATACAGCATCCTATTAAAGTAATATTGTCAGATATACTATAGTACTAAGTACTAACGTACATTCACTCTAATGATTCACCTATAGGTGTAAACAATGTACCGTATACTATTACTTCATACAGTCATTCATGTAATAGTTAGATCATATTAAGTAAAATTTTAGTGGTTAAGAAGGGGCGGAGGGAGCGAAGCGACCGAGCCCCCTTCTTAACCACTAAAATTTTAGTTAATAATGATCTAACTTACTTAGAACCTATCGCGCTTTTTCATTGGCTAATTAGTCAGCCCGCGGAGATACTGCGCCAAAAAATGGGTTAGAGGTCAGTTGAAAACAATTAGGCCTAAACATGGCAGGTTCTGGTGACGAGAGCGACATTTTTAAGGATGTAGACTTTTTACTCTGTGACTTTTTACCGGATGATGATTCAGATGGTGTTTTATCGCAAAGCCTTGTGAATATTCCCACTCAGCAGCTTTTCAAGGTAGAAAATGAGACCGATCATGTAAGATTTGCATCGCCCGTGTCGGGAGCGGATCTCAAAATTAAGCAAGCTGCCGGGATTCCGAAAAAGACTCGCCAAGCAAATAATTGGGCAGTCCGTTTATGGACAGATTGGGCTAGATTCAGAAATACAAGACCCGAGACATATATGGAAGGTGGTGTTATTTCTGAGAATATATGCGGTCTTTCAAATGAAGCTTTGAACTTTTGGATGCAACGATTCATAATAGAAATTCGCAGAAAGGATGGAACGGCTTACCCCCCTAATACGTTAACTCAGATTGTAGCTGCATTACAGCGGTATCTAAGGAGTAATTGCGATGACAGGCAATTTAATTTTTTTAAAGACGACGATCTTGTTTTTCGGGATTTTAGAAAAACTCTGGATTCACATATGAAAAGCCTGACTAGTCAAGGTATCGGTGTAAATAAGAAGAGGTGTGATCCTGTCACAGAAACGGATGAAATGAGGATGTGGGAGACAGGAGTATTTTCTTTAGAAACAGCGTCAGGATTGAGTAATGCAATTTTTTTCTATAACGGTAAATGTTTCGCATTCCGTGGAATGAGTGATCATAAACAATGTGACGCAGACCAGTTTGAAATCGGATTCGATCATGAAAATTCTCGTAAGTATGTTAAATATACTCCAAGGGTAACAAAAAATGTGCAGGGTGGCTTAAAGCATCGCAGAATTGAGATAACACCTATAAAACATTATGAAGATAAAAACAATCCAAGGTGTCTAGTTATTCTGTATGAAAAATATTTGTCTCTTATTCCACGTGTGGGGCCACTTTACAGAAAACCTTTGGATTCTACCGGACCTCATGGCCCGAAATTCAGCGCCAATAACATTCCCATGAACCAAATGTCACAGATGTTCAAAAAGTTTTTTAGTCAAGCCGGAATTGATACTTCTGATAGGAATATTTCAAATCATTCAGGACGAGTAACGTGCTGTACAAGGCTTTACAATAATGGATTTTCTGACAAGGCTGTTGTGAGTCGAAGTAATCACCGAAGCAACGCGGTTCATACGTACCAAAGAGAACAGTTTAAAATTTTGCAGGATATAAGTAATACGCTTGCGCCACCCGCACCTAGAGATAACGCTATTAAATCGGAACCCGTGTCTACTGTTGTAAAATCTGAATCTGCACCATTTAATAGAGAATCTGTCCCTGCATCGGAACCCACCCCAGCCATTCCATTTGATCCTGAGAACAGTGAAAACAACACACTAACGGTCTTTGTTCCTTCTGGAGTTGACTGTATCAAAATTATAAAAGATGGCAAACACATTTCTCTAAATATTTGAATTCTGAACAAAATATTTGTATTTTCTTCAATAAAATGTTTTTTTCTTCATCATTTACTCTCATGATTTTTTGTTTCACAGCTGGCTGTCAATCAAAATGTCACGTGACTAAAGATTTAGACAAAAAATCTTAACAATTAAGTGATCCACTTAATAGAAAATTTAGCAGCTGCTGATTGGATGAAAAAGCGGGTTAGGTTCTAATCAATAATAAACACAGATTGAGAATTTTCTATTTAGATAATTCTGAAACATGGGTGATGTTTGTTATTGATCAATGAAAAGGGAAGAATATCTGTTTACATAAATGCATGTCTATCATCTGTTGTTTTGTTTTGGACATTTGGATACATGTGATATTATAAATGTCACATTCCACGATTCGGAGCTTGTTTACATCGTATAATTAATTCAAGCTAACATTTGTGTTATCATTATTTTCATAATATTTATGACGTAAATTTTCTCTCTACAGTACTACACACTTTTTTTTAAAAAGGTCAATGCTATAAGTATTTTTCATTAATACATAACGATTCCTGTTTTTGCTAGAAACTCCAGTGTGCATAACCTTGGTATTGCTGATATGGTATAGGACATTTACCTTCACAAGTAGAACTAGAATTATCCTGTTATTTTACTTGTATAAGTACTGACAATCTTTATTCAGGTGCCTTTTTTTACCTAACAATTCTATTTTCAGCAAGTAAGCCAAATTTATATATGCAAGACAGCTAAAATGGCCTAGGTATTCATGTATTTTAATGTCACATCTGACAAAAGAACAATGTCGACAGTTTGTTTGGAGCCTTCATTTCCTTGAAATTTTTTTAGCTGTCAAAAATAATTGTGGCTGTTTAACTTCTACTGAATAACATTTCAGTCCTTATATTTTAAATATTTTGCTGAATAATGATTTTATCTAAAGCTACTAAAATAATTTCATTAGCAAATTTAACATGATTCCATTTTAATTCCTTTAATGAATGATAAAAAAGAATCTTCCTTCACCAATTTTCCTTATAAATACATGTATATATACACTGTGTTGTAATAAATAGGTGTGCGTTTTAAAAATCTGTTGAAAGAAACTAGCTTATAATTCTCTTTGTGAGAATGGTGACTGGTCCACTGCACAGTAACTATTTAGTCTTAGATAAAGATTTTGAAATCTTGTCTTTACATTGATGAAACTGTATGTACACATAATCTTTTCAAATCTAACAATAGCCAAAGTTTTTCGTCTAACTGAATGAAAATGAGGGTAGGGAAAATAACCATCTGGTACACTATCAAGAAAAACATCTGTCTGCCTACCTCTGTAACTTTAAAAATTGGAAATCAATTCAAAACATGACCTATAATTTGGAGGGGGGGGGGGGGGGCAATTTTTACTTCAAATAAGAGGACAAATTTCTTGCCATTAAAAAGTTAAGGTCAAAATTAAAGTTAATTTGACCAATGACCAGCGTTCAGTGGGTCACTGTCAATACATCTCTTTGTCCCCTTTGAAAATATGGCTATGACAAGTATAATCACTTTTCTGAAAATCACCTTGAACTTGTATTGTTAATCTTAGGTCAAGATCTTGAAAAACTCTCTAGTCATAAATACAGGTGTCACTGTCAATACACCTCTCCCTCCCCTTTTCAGGCCATGAAGAAGTAATATTTAATTGTGTGAACTATCTTCTCAATTAAGAAAATATGGCCAGAACTTTTAAATTTATCTCCCCTATCAAAGGGTCATCCCTCCTTAACTCCTCACCTTTATTCCTAAAAGTTCAGAAAGCTCGTCAGCTTTGGTTTGTCTAAATGTGTTCCCTGCATTCGTAACAAATACAACTGGTAGTCGAAACTTCCCCGATTCGTCGGTCAGGAGCTGGAATGCCTCACGGGCTGACGGAAGAATACGCTTTCCTCTCTTGATCACGCCATCAATGTCAAATAAAAATCCGAAATCATGTCCTCTGTTTGACTGAAATATAAACAAAATGAAAATTTAAATAATGTATATTCTACTTATCATGATGCTTATATATGTATTAACTGTATATGGTCAAATACTTCAACTTGTTCAATCTGTACGTTTAAAAAAATTAGTAAATGTTAAGGGGAGACAGGGCACATGTCACATGACTAAAAAGACATATTACGTCATAATCGGTGATGATATACATGTTAAACGGTGTAAAATCAACAGTTCTTGTGTAAATTTATTCTAAATTCTAAATTAAATTGTTTTTTAAACATTTAATTTTAGAAATTATTATTAATAATTTTTTTAAGATCTTGCCATCATTTAGATATTTTGAAGTTGCCGAATCCACTCATTTGTTTCTCTTTACCCTGCAGTCTGACGTCAGTGACGTCATAGACGTAGTGTTTGAATTCTCAGTGCAGCGAGATCAAGTACACACCCGTTGTGATCAGTTTTATTTCTTTATAAACAGGTCACAGTCAATGTATCGTGATAAATTTCTGAAGCAGATTTTTTTAACAGGGCTCTCGATTCTCTATGAACGGCCCCGTTCCCAATGCAAAAAAGGTACCTTTTTTCCCAAAAGAAAGGTGTAAATTTCCCAATTTCCATCCAGAGTAAAATATTAATTAAAAAATAAAAGTCCATCAAAACTAATCGCAAAAAAAAAAAACCCAAACAAAACACATTTGCAAATGAAAGTGAAAATGTACTACTATTTTATCAGTTCGCGCCAAATGCATTCGTAAACTGGTTCGGGGAACCAGGTTATTGTTTTTACAAAAATGTATACAACTATGAGTGCAGAGTATCTTGTTATGTAGTTTCGACAAAAACCATCATTTTGGTTTCAAAAATAGACATTTCATTTAAATATTAGTAAGCTGCACTTAGAAACATACCCGCGCTTTGGCATGTTCAGTCTCGCGCTGTATTGGTAAGCAAAGTTGCCCATGTGATCGAGGAAATTCAGGACTGTGTGACTAGCGACTGTCACGCAGTACGACATATAACCGCAATATCAACACTCAAAGATAGTAATGACAAAGCTAATGTACTTTCATAAATTGCCTACGTTATGACCCATATTTGTTCTGTTTAACTGTTTATTCAAACCAGAGTTAGCATTGATGATAAAATGCTAGAAAAGCAAAATTTGAGGATTTTTTTTTAATGAATTTGTGTTATCCAACTTTTCCCAAAATGACGATAATTTTCCCAATTTGAACGGCCCCGGCCCCAGTCCCAAAAAGTGGTGCGAGAGCCCTGTTTAAATTAATATTTTTTCGTGTTTAGTAGCAAGATTCTCTCTATTTAGATAATTTTGAATGTTTATGTTTTCGTGTGACGTCACAATTGATTTCCCGCACTCGGAAAATACAAACATGAAGCGTTTGTATCATGTTTACGTCTAATTCAACGATGTCCTGTGCGATATTGAGGTAAGCTTCACCCTGTGATATTTATGCAGTAAATAATTACGATGAAGGACTGACATTCAATCATAAATTTAGAAATATTTATTGACAGAATTTTTTCCAAATGAGGTTTTTGTCGCTAAAGCTGCCTTGAAAAATGTAGAAAGTATCCCAACCAAATACTATATAAAATTAGAACAATTGCTTTCAGATAATTTAAACACTATGAATATTCTGAAATATTTGGGTATATAGTGTTATCAATCATATTTATCGTTTGTGCGTAAAAAATTCGCATTATGGACTCCGTTATCATGGTTATGGGCCACTAAACATGAAGTATCTAAACTCCATACAATCTCTAAACAGGGCGGTATTTGTGGGGCGATATCTTTTAAATAAGTCAAGAAATCCCATGACAGGACCGTTTAAAAATGTTTAGAACATATTAAATTAGTAATATAAAAAATACGAAAAAAATTCAGTGACAGGATTTTTTTCAGCTAAAGGTCCTGTTCCTCCTTAAGGAATTTCAAAGCTGACTTCCATTAAAATAACACAACCATATTTGACAGTTGTCATTGATTCTGTACATCAAGTTGAGGAATGTGGTTATCAACATATTAGTTTTTGAATTTGTGAAAAATTAGAAGAGCTTCCAATTTTTTCTCTATTCTTTTTATTTATTCCACGTTTGAATTTAGTAATCATGGTAATAGGCACATAATAGATCATATTTAATCTTCAAAACTTAGAAAGCAACAATATCATTTTTCTTATCATTTATTGTTAATTAGAACAATTAATGGTTGAAAGCTATAAAATGCCGAAAAGCAATTTCACACTCCTGAACCTAGTACACTGGTGGCATTTAGTAGTGATACATCATATATGAGGCCTATGTGTACATTATAATATTTATATTTAAAAACAGTGCAGGTCTAACATTCTGAAATGCAAGCTAGCTGTCATATGATATGTTAATTTCTTTGAATTTAAGAATTTGATATAGTTCACCTGGTACATGTGGTACAAACAATGAATCACAGTTTCAACATGTACAAGGATCTAGTTATATAAGTATACAAACACCCAAAAGGTTCTGATAACATCACTGAAACTCAGGTTAATTCATCCTACCCCAAAAACATAGTGTGGTCAGTATATATACCTCTAGTTACCATGGTTACTTTCCATGGCCCTATTAACCGCGGAAATGAGGGGGTTAATTTTGCCAATATATTATAGAATACTATAGATGAGACACGACATTTAGATTTTGAGCATGTTGAGTTGACATGGTTACCAGTTAACATGGTGGCCGGATGGGGGCCGGGTGTTTATAGTATGTATTCTAGATTAGTAGATGCCAGAATTTTTTTTTAAACATACAGTAAGAAGTGTCAAGTCATACTCCTAATGTCTATCTATTCATGCTCCTTGCACTATTTGTAAATAAAAAAGAAAAATACCCAAGAGTTGATGATGCAATAATTTTTATCATGCATGAGTGATGATGCAATCAATCCCCAACAAGAAAATGCAGATGAACAGTATACAAAATGTAAACAAAGTTAAACAAACCTCGTTTGTAAAACTATGGTAAACTTTAAAATTTTCAAAATTATACAAGGTTTGAAGTCCGAAGGTCGCGACGCAAAATAACATAATAACCGTTTTAATTCATTTTAAAAGACAGTTGTTGTTTGCACGTCGGAAAAAGATGTCTAAAAGTGGTCTACTACTGAAGTTTTTCATTTAAAAAGAAAATAAATACTTAATTTATGAACACGACGGTAAATATTTTAGCTTTTTTTAAACATCATTATTATTATTCCGGAAATCAGCTGTTTTTTAAGGTCAAGTAAAGTTTGAGTTTTTCAAACCTGTTTTTCAATGAAATTTAATGTAAAGAATTAAAAATAAACCTACCTTATGATTAATATGTCTTCTAAACATTCGCTTACATATATTAGTCGACACTTTTCCACTTAGTAAATCGCCTAGATTTAGAGATTTTACTAAAATTCTTCCACTGAACGCCATTTCAGCTCAACACCAAACCGTGGTCGACCTTCACCTCGATGTAGGTGTGTTGCTATTTCGCCAATGAAAATCCACTGACGTCACAACTGAACTGATCACGTACACTTCCTAGACGAACGAAAAACAAAATGCGCCGAAAACCGCTCTAGATGTTGAAGAATAGATGTACATAACACTGTTTCAGGCGTATTTTGTTTATTACTATGATTACTCAAGTTTGATAATTTATAAAATTCTAAATATATTTCTCAAAACTTCGCAGCTGTGATTCAAGATCGGATTAAATTAATTTAAGCCATTTTGAAAATCAATTTAAGGCACTTTGAAAAAAAATTAAAGTGCGTTAAAGTTGGGACAAAATCAATGCACAGTGAAAATGTTTTTCAAAACATATTTCTATATCAATACGTCATGTACATTTTAAGCATATTAACACAATTGGTATATGACATACTTGAGTTAATTAACATAAAAATATATGGAGAAAAAAATGAAATAAGCTTTCCGGCGCGAAAAAAGAAAAAGAAAAAGCTAGTAATTAAAGAATTATAAGAGTCTCAAGGACCATGTCGCTGATCTAAGCCGCCGTTTACAAAACACGGACAGGTCACGGAATCACGGATGCACGGAAATATAGAAAATAGTACAAATCACGGATTGTTTTTTGCACGGAAAAAATACATTAAAAAAATCCGTGAGATCTATAAATAAAAATAAAACAAGTATCGGGAGAAAATGTTACAATATTTAATAACAAAGATTTATATGATAAACTTAGTCTTACAATTACATTTGATGGTTTTAGACTTTCTAATTTGTTTTTCACTAAGTGTTGTATGACATCGTGGATAAACCACTGGCGACACTTAGTGCAATTAAACATGAATCCATGTTCAGGCATTCTGCACGTGCAGAACAACTTCATATCAAATGTAAACTCTATTGACTGTTGGCGTTTACACGGAGATGACGGAAACTTACGGAAAATTCCGTCAGTGATACATTTCATTAAATGGGGCCTCATTGCTTCAGTGTGGAAATGAGTATTCTCTGGAAGTCCACCGAAACATATCTCTTAACTGCATTTGCAATGGCATACAGTCCACAGTCGTTGCCATTTTTCTGGACATCAGAATTCATAAAGTGGACTGTAATGTTTTCCTCTGGAGAATGCATTATATTAGCAATGCTTTTAATTGCGCTATCATAAAGTTTAACGCAAGATGCAAATTTTACATTCATAGTTGTAAACATTATCCAATGTTGACCACCAGTTTTAGGGTGTGTATGTACAATTTGAATAAAAGTCAACAACTTGGACGAAAGCACGGCTTTTATAGACACAAAATCAAGTTTGACAGCATCGATCAAGGTATCGTGATCCGTTATCTACGGAACCATTAATCCGACCAAGTGATTCATCCGTGATTGTTACACCCACGGATTCAACACTTGCACGGACATCACGGACATCAGCTGTTTCCTTTTGGGCGAAACGGCATTTGTGAATTATGTTCTTTATATAATATTAAATGTTTAACATCTCTAACACTTAGGCTAGAGTGCCTATTCGAAATTATAGGTTGAACTTCTGTAGCTTTATCGTCATCCATCTCGCGCCAAATCCTAGCTCTATTTGTGACGTCACCGTGGATACCATTGTTACGTATATAGTAAAGCTATACGGATTTCCGTAAATAAGTAAAATACTGATAATAATTACCGAATAACAGAAAAAATATTATGTAATTTAAATTTTCCGTATTGTACATAAAACTTTAATTTCTCGTATTTTGTAAACTTATTTCCGTATTCCGTGCATCCGTATTCCGTGACTTATCCGTGTTTTGTCAACCTCCGATCTAAGCAACAGTAGCCAAGTTTTAATTAAACCAATTGACTACACTTTGTCCAAAGTACATGTAGCTTTACAAAATCAAATACAGTTCAGTGATGTTGCATCAATTTCGAAAGGGGTGGGGATCAGAGGAAAAAAGGAAAAATATATCCAAACTCGAAATTTCTATTTTGTGTGTGCAGGGGGGGGGGGGTGTATAAAGGCCAACTTCTTTCGGTACCATATTTTTTATAAATCAAAATACTACCGGGTATGTTTATTTCACTAAACTGCAGCAAAAAGTTGAGCTGGCCATGGGGTGTGGAACTGGACTTTTAATGAACATTTATTATACCATAAAGGTGCACATATAGCACTTCTACTGCAGCAGAACTGTAGCTCTCCGAAAAAACATAATTGACAGACCGGAGAGCTACAGCTCCCAATTGAAAATACTACATACATTTATTGCGCACAACTGATGTAAGAATTTGGAAGAATTAATACAGAAACCAGTGGATGGCACTGTAGCTCTGGATCCGGTCTGTTAATATATGTAAAAGGATTTTGAAACCAATTTGACATCCCCGGTTGAAAACCTTATACTGCGATACAGGACATGCACTCGCCTTGACATTCCATAATATATGAATGTCAATGGGCTATAGATAATACTAGAAAATAATGTAAGAGAAAAGAGAAGTTCATTGAACTTAAGTATTTTGGTTTTAAAAAAAGAATGCGTTTCTGGTATAAAAAGTGATAACAAATTCTGAGACCTTTCTGCACATTTAACATTCCAAAACATGGAAGGACCATAGGCGCTTGGTTACAGGATGGTGTATTTTGTGTATTATGTGTTTTTATATACAGTAAATATGACATTTTAAGAATTTTTATTTTTATTTTAATGAGGGTATTCAGACACACCTAGAAAAACATATAATACACGAAATACACCATCCTGAAACCAAGCGCCTATGGGAAGGACTACTTACACTCGAAAAAAAAATCTGCAAGAGGAGTTTATGGAACCTGAATTTTATTGGAAAACTACATTTGATGTTGAAAGAAAATTTAAATTTTTCTACATTCACGTGTGAAGGAAACTCCAACATTTACATTAATTAAGGACAGATGATACAAACAAACTTTTGTCCAAAAATTTGAAAACAACTTGGACCATGTTTTAATACTAGTAAGTAAAGTGAACTGCGACAAGTTCCACATGTACTTTTTATTTTTTTATTCAAAGTTTAGATTTGAAGTGAAAATATTTGTACAGATTAATAACGGTGGTTTCAGAAGGGTAGACTTTTGAACATCACAGAAAGTTTCCAATTTCTTTATATTCTAGAAATTTATTTTTTGCATCACATGCAATTGAAATTAGGGCAAAAAATATACAAATCCAGGCGTCCATTTTTTGTTTGTCTCATCTGTCCATAAAGTATACTTTGGATTTTTCATCCAGAAAGTGGATGAAGGTGAAGCCCGTCCATTCTCTAAATAGAATAACTTTGGGTGTACAAGGGTTCTTCAATGACTTTTTAAAAAACAAAATATTTGTCTATGACATATTCACAACGTTTTACTACTGAAAAATCCAAAATTTAAGCTAAAACTAGCCTTCTATAAAAATCATACACTCTGATACTAAAACCGAACCTGGAATTCTATTCGTAATTTCATAAGTTAATTTATCAAGTTGGATTCATGCATCACATAGTTACACAATAAAGAAAGAGGACCAAAAGCGAAAAGATCGTTTCATATTGTTACAGTGTTGTAAGAGCGATAACTCGAAAACAAAAATCTCAAAGAATACGTGAGTTATCTATCTTTGATCAGTACTCTCCAGTGAATTTTTTGATAGCGCGCAATATTTATGCACGGAGCACACGGATTACATCAAATGTGAGTATTAATTTAAGAGTGAGAAACAATCTTTGTGAAGGATTTTAATAGGCTATTTAGTACGATAAATAAACGATTATTTAAACAGAAGCAAACAATAAACACGAGTCGTCTGCTTTCATGCACATGTAAACAAACCTCGCGAGATCGCGCGAACTGTCAAAGTTATATATGCTGAAGAAACTTATTTTTTTTCCCCAGATGAATAGAAAGACTACACCTTTAGTACCAATTTTCAACTGCAAGAAAAGAACAAGAGAAGCCATCATTGCTGAGGAGGGTGAAAATTACGCATCTTCATCCGATTTGGTCCATTATGGACAAGGTATGCAGACTTCACCAACGTCTTGTAAAATAATTTTATAATTTTAATCTATCAAAAGGCCTTTTTCTGCATAGGCGTCGGAACAAGGGGGGCTTAGCCCCTAACTTTTTATCCAAATATATTTGTATAATAATTTTAATTTATCATAAAACCTTATTCTGGTAAGTTCATGTACAAACCTTGACACATATAACACTATGTATGGGAAAGTTATTGACCAAGGTATACTTAAAAGAACTGTTAAACAGGTAATTTACCACCAAAATGATTGTGTTTTTTCCCCTTATTTCTAGGTGATTCACATAATGATGAAATGCAACATATCAGCTTTGACCACAACAATCAAACGGCACCACATTCCTACCAGAATAATAAAACATGGGAAAGTGAGCAAAACTTTAATTACCAACCCCGGAGTCAAGGGATGGACAATAACACAAGGTACAGCATGATGAATTTAAGAACATTTTTTTGGTTTGCATTGACTAATTACAGTTTTCAAAGTGACTAAGATCACCACAATTAAAATCGCCCAAGCTCCCTGATTTTATAATTTAGTTAAAATTAAGCCACACATTACATCGTCTGTAACTTCTCACATCTGTAGCCAAAATTAACCACTGTTCATGCTGTTAATTTGAAGAAATGTATATCAATCTGATTAAAATCAGATCCTTTGATCCGCTCACTTAGATCGCTACACAGACCTTGTGTAGCGATCTATGTGAGCGAATCAAAGGATATTAAAAAGATTTTGGAAAAGAAATGTTATGACTGTACATGAGGGTTTTTGTTTGTTTTTGTTAAACTGTTATTGTGGAAAATTTAGGTTTCAATATCAGCAGAGTGCCTCACAAATGAACAGAGGAAGACCAAGGAACTTTAATCAGAGTTCCTTTCACAGTCAGGCAAGAAATTCCCAGAGATCAAACATGGACTTGATACCCCCAAACCCTCCAAATCCAAAATCAGCTAAATTCACTGCAAACCAAAGATCATCAGGGGCAGGAAACAGTCAGCAAAACAGACCCACAGGAGGGGGGCAGGGCCCCACTAACAGAGGGGGGTATGGGAAACAGGGCACTGCTAACAGAGGAGGGTACAGACAAAATGCCAATAGTAAAGGGTTTGGTGGAGGCAGCAGTTATGTAAAGAATACCATGCATCCAAGTGCTACTTCCAGTAGTTCTTATCCGAAACAGGGTCAAAGCCAGTGGGACAAAAGCAAACAGTGGAATAGCAGGAGCAACCAGGGAAGCAGTAGTAGCAACCAATGGGACAATAGAAGCAACCAATTGAAGAGCAGTAGCAACCAACAAAATCATGTTAACAGCCAATGGAGTAGTGGTAGCAACCAGTGGAATAGTGACAACAATGAGGGAAAAAGTTGTAGTGGTAACTTTGACTTAAGAAATAAAATAGGTTCAGCAGAAACAGGTTTTTGTAGTGGAAATCAAAGTTGGAGTCAGTCAAGAATTGGTGTGCAGAGACAACCAGAGAGCCAGTGGGGTAGAGGTGGTCAAATATGGCCGGCCATTGACATGAGTGGCAGTGCCAGCAATATGGACAAAAGATATGCACCAATTGCTTCCTCATTTCAGGTACTAGATTAAAAATTTTAGTGTTTTGCAGAAATTTGCAAAGACCTTTCTCTTGCAAATTTTGAAAATGTATATGCAAGTGACTTCATACAATTAATTAAAATGCATTTAGAGTACCTTTATTTTTAACTACATATTGAATTATAGATTCCCAATGCCACTGGAGATGGTATTCCCCAACATACTGTCAGCAGTGACTCCTGGCATCAAAATGTGTGGACAACACAGCAGCAGGGGAATGAAAGAGCTTCTCAAATGACCAAAGCCCCAAACACAGCTGAGGTACAAAATAATTCCTTGATTATTAAATCTATTTTAAAAATTTACACAATAAAGCTTGGACTAATCTGGACGTCACTGGTCAATTAGATGTGTGCCAGGTTAGACCTTGAGGTGGTTGTGACTACTTCAAGGGGGAGAAATACTCCTTGTAGGCACTGAACCCACATTTGGAATTTTCAAGGATCCATTTTGTATACCCTGTTCATGAATTTATATTTCTTACAGTTTTTTTTAGATCACACATACACTTTTCTTCATCTTGGTCATCTCCATGCACCTTTTTCATTACTGTAGAAAATTGAAGAATATTTTACAAACTTTTATGTTATTGTATGACCCCCCCCCCCCCCCCCCCCCCCCCCCCCCCGTGTAAAAAAATTGTTTAAATTATGGTCTGATTTCACACTTTACTGAGTTTATGTCAAAAACAATACATCAAAATTGTAGTGTTTGTAGTTTACTTGGTATCCATTCTCTAAAAATTTCATTTAAACAATATATTGCTTTCTTTGTTTGTTATTACTGGAATTAACGGAAGCAGCTGTTGCAGAAAAAATACATAACCCGCTTATGCGGGTTATGTAAATTTTTTCTGCAATAGCTGCGACCGTTAATTCCAGTAATAACAAACAAAGAAAGCATTTTATTGTTTATATTTATATCTGTTTAAATAATCATTTAAAGTAGGATTAAAAAGATTGATTATTGTATTAATGATGCGAACGTCTTTATACGTTTCATTGATGGAACAGCCACTGATCAATCTGAAATCTGTATTCAGTGGATGAAATAAAGGAGAAAATATATAGTAAATATAGATTGATGAATAGATAGCTGCAATTATTGTGTGGGAAAATGATATTCTGGTAAATTTTCTTTCCTTTTTTTTTTTTAAATTTATTAGTTAATTTAATCCAATTTTTTAAAATTAAAAAGTTAATTTATTATCTCTTTTTTTATAAGACAAAGACAGCCCAGAAGCCAGTGTTGGACAGATCCCTGAGAATCATAACTACAGACCTAGCTGGGATACAGAACTGGGAACACCTCCGAGGGGTGTTCACTTTTCTGTTTGAGATATTTGGTAAGAATATATATTTAACTCAAGTTTGATGTATTTTATTGTACATTTCTTAAAATGAATACTGCAATAATATTAACAAGTGATTGGTAAAAGCTTTATTTAAAAAGTTACAATACATTTAAATGTTTTCCTTTATTGACTTTTTTTTTTTCAAAAGATTTGAATTGCATAAATTGATTTAAAGATACATGTAGATTTAAAAATACTATTATTTTCTAAACTTGAAATATTATTATTATAAGAAATTGATTATCTATATTTGATTTTTTTTTTTATTCAAGCCCAGGTGAATTCTGCAACAGTTAAGGTTCCAGATGTTGATGCCAAAAAGTTTTCAATCAAGGAGGATAATGCATCTATGAACTGTATCTTCTATGAAATTGTAAGGTTTACAGTACTAGTGCATCCTATAACAAACTTTAAATATACATGTAATATGCATGATTTGAGCATGATTGGTTTCACTTAACAAATTTTTTGCATAATTTTTAAAATACAACATTATGATTAATTTGAATTCAGGTACCATAAGTTTATAATATTTTAATTCTTATTTTTCTCACTAGAAACTATAACCAATTGCTATAAACCAAGAGTAAACTTTTTAATTAAATTGATTATTGTGATAGATTTGATTGATACATTGTAGGATCACTGTCTACCAAAGCTTACCAGAGGAAAAATATACAGGTATTTAAAACTTAAAAAAGACCTCCTCCCTGAACACTTTTAAGAAAATTACCTAACATACATAAAGTCCCTATATACACAATATTGTATTTTATACACATAACTGAAGATTAAAGAAAAATAATTTCATTATACCCCCCGCTTCAAAAGCGGGAGGGTATATGGTAATCGTCCGTCCGTCCGTCCGTCCGTCCATCTGTCCGTCCGTCCTGTTGTTACGCTTTGGGGTACCCATCTCTTATCCGCAACTCCTCTCATACCACTGAATGAAATTTGATGAAACTTTCACAGAATCTTTATTACATATTGCCATTGTGCACCTCCTATTTTACTTCTTGATCCGACACATATTTTGGGTTTCCCGGCCACAGGAAAACATGGACTTTTTCACCAGTTAAAACCATATGGGAGGCGGGGGGTATCATTTAGTGAGCTCATCGCTCACAGTACCTCTAGTTAACAATTATTGTCATATACAAAAGCAATCATAATCCAAAAGTAGATGCATTGAAAGTATCAATTGTATGTATTTGTCAAAATGATAAGCTAAATAAGATTTATAGTTTCTGATCTTTTTTGACAGAATTGTGGGATCCTATGACAGCCACCAAAATTTGATCAAATGTGTGTCGATCCGAGAGGCCATGCAGGAGGAGCATGTAGCTCATCAGAAGAATGTGGAGGTGTGTGCAGAGTATAAACTGAAGCTCTCCAGTCTCGTCAGGGAGCAGTAATTAAGTTACCGTTACACACCTTATACTAAGAGTCTTGTCAAGGAGCAGTAATTAAGTTACCACTGGTACACACTTTATGCTAAGAGTTTAGTATAAACTGAAGCTCTCCAGTCTTGTCAGGGAGCAGTAATTAAGATACCACCGTTACACACTTTATACGAAGAGTCTTATCAGGGAGCAGTGATTAAGTTAACACCAGTACACACCTTAACCTAAGAGTTTAGTGTCAAAGCTTACATGAACGTCGTTATAAAGCAGCTGATTGAAAAGAAAAAAGTGTTCGTTTAAAGTGTGCACATTGTAAATCATTTCACAAGGAGATGTGATATTAAGACCTGACTATTGTTATTTGTTATCCAAATATTTGTTTTATTTAGAGGTTTTATTTATTAGGAACTTTTTTTAATTTAACAATAAAACAAGAGGTCATTGTTTTTAGGAATCCTAAGACCATTAAGAATACAGGTTATTTTGATAAGTTTTAATTAAAGTTTTTTGAATTTTACATACATTGTATTTCAACAAAGAGAACTAAACTGAATTGCTTGAAGCACCTGTGCTCACTGCTGGTTGACTGGATTTCAACATATTCTGACTGATAATTGGAATATTTGTTACTGGTTCAATCTTATTAGTATACAAGGATTGTATATACTTACAATTTATTTTGTTTCTTTTGAGATTTATAATTTGTTTCTTTTGTGATTGAAACTTCTGCCAATTAAAAGAATAAAAAAATCTTATTTGTCATTTATCTATACACAACCTTTTTTTCACCTGAACATTAAGATATTGAACCAATGTCTTCATTGCAGTAAGCATTAAACTCCCCACAAGTCTTGAACTAAGGGTCAGAGATTCTGAACTCGATCCCACTAGTCTTGGACTAAAGTTCAGAGGTTCTGAACTGCCTATAAGTCTTGGACTAAGGGTCAGAGGTTCTTGAGTTAGGGTGAGTCTCTAATGATTAGGGATGTGCGATTTTATGGGTATACCGGTATATCGCGATTTTTTGTTGCGTGATACGTATCGTGATACAGAGACCTAAATACCGGTATTTAGGTACATATTATAAAGTCCAGAAATTATTCATTTATTTGTTCAATCTTTCAAATTACAATCATAGAAAGTCTAAAAAATGTTGTAAAAGGTGGAAAGAACGGCATCTTACCATCCAAACATGATTAATTTTATGTACATAAAAATTTCAAAAAAGCTAAATTTTGTTTTTCTAGAATATTTTAAGAAAAATAATAAAAATTCATTAAAAATCATTGTAAAAATTGCTGGTAAAAATATCATGATATTATCGTGATATTTTGGGAAAAAATCATGATATATCGCGATACAAAATTTTTAGCGATACCCATCCCTACTAATGATCACATAAATAAGTGCATATAGCTGTGTAGGTCAAACACAATGCATATTTATAATTAGCCAGGCTGCCTCTTTTAAAATCGGGGGTTTTATGGGATCTGGATCTAGGGTGTTAGGATGTGGTTTTATTGATTTCAAAGTGATAATCATTACTCCTCTACAAATCTTCTCTGCTCCTGCATAGTTTGAAACAAACTTTGCATATGGTTGTGTGAGCAAAGGCTAGAGTGCCTATAGTCTTGGGCCAGGGTTCCTTGTAAAAGGTGGGGCTCATTTAATACTTACTATAGAGCAGAGTAAAGACGGATCTCAAAACATAAGAGGCAGGATCAGGTGCCTTTGAGGGGTGAGCATCCCCTGCCGACCTTTCACACTTGCTGTGTGCTCCTTGTAATGATCGGGAAATAACGGAAAAATCCGTGGACAATTCAGTGCGTAAATAATGGCCTAACAATTAGTATGAAAACATTAATCAGCATTTGACTTATTAATAGAGATTGTATTTGCTGACAAGGTCATTGTATCGTCCATAGAACTTACAAAATGATGACGTTAATCGAGATTGCTGATATTCTTGATTCATCAACTTAATCAACAACTTACATGTACCTTGACGATTGAAAAGTTAAAGTCATCGCCTTTATTATAAAACTTGGTTGTTAGATAACCATTAAATTCTTCTTCTAGTAAATATCTAAATTTGAAACATATATGTCAGAATCTGTGGTATATTTTATTTTAAGCTCACCTGGATCTAAATATTTCTATGTGTTTTCTCTGTGATAACTCTCTGAAAGTTACTAGAGTTAATTTCTTGATCATTCTACCCGAATGTAAATTTCGCCAAGCGACAGACCTGTGAGGAGCTATGGAGGCCTAATATGCATGTATATAAATCTCGTGCGGCTGTCTTTGAGTTTGACGTCACTGGGCGGGGACAATTGTAATTGACATATGTAATACCCTTTTAATTGAAAATCCATTAAATCCTAATTTACAATTTTATTTCACAATGTTCAAAATGAAAATATAATGAATCACTGTGTAGTTAACAGAGTATGCCAGGGCATCAACGATCATAGTTGGAAACGTGGGATAACCTGCATAACGGGCTTCGCTTAAATGTCGAACTGAAGATCACAGCAAGTGTTTTCTTGTTTTCACGTAATACTGTAAGAATTTGAAAAAATGCTGTTTCATATTTCGGTATGAATACAAATATAGGTCTTCTTAGAACTAGGCGCAATTGATTACCTTTCCAATAGATTATTGGAAGACCCGGCCTCCAAAAACCACACCGATATTGGCAATGAAACGCAAATATCTTTTTTTTAAAATCAACTTTAGAGTACTTGTATATGCAACCACATTTTTTTGTTACAGAATAATTTTGCAAATGACCAATGATAAGGTAAGTAAAATACATTTTATTGTAAAAGCAGCTGTTAAATATTGAAAAAGCCTATCGACTTGATATCAAAATGCTTTAGCGAGAGTCAAGAATTATTTGCTAATCCTTTGTTGTCATACGAACGCAAGAGGCTTTCGGGAGAGTCAAGGATAAACAACACAAATTTCTTGCAAAGTGAATGTTTTTATCAGCATATAATTTTCTTCAAAAGATTTGCACCTATGGTACTGCATGGTGTACAAGGAGAGGGAGAGAAAAAAAAAAACTTGTGAAGTTGGCTATTGAACCATGTATCAAATAGAATTGCATCCAATCATCTACCTTTGTCATAATGGAGTCGTATAGTGAGATATTATATTAACCATTGAGAAGTGGAAAAGAACGATATTGCGATAATAGGATTTACAATCCTCTTCTTCGATTAACAATTTTTATTTTTGATTGACATGTAGTTTTTGCAAACTGTAATATCGTACCAAACATATTTGTATTCGTATAAATCACTGGCCAGGAAACCCATTGTATGAAATTAATATTTCCAACTGTAATCTACAAGAGTCATTGTTAGATGATAGTAATTATGTCTTTAGAACCTCTAGATCTACTATGCAAAGTCATTTTTGTTGTATTTATTTGGACCGAATGAACGACGGTAGTATTCATTTATATAATTCATAAAAAAAAACTATATAAAGACGAGAAATCTTCATTGTGATTTATATACCTATATATAATTGTAAGCTAGATATTTGATAAGATCTTTATTCTCTCTTAGCAGGGAGTTTTCCAATGCCAAAAAAGTCCGAGAAACTGAATTCATCCACGGTCTCTCTGAGAGGAAAAGATAGACAACAGAAAGGATACATCTGTCGTATTGCATCAAGACAGAGAACAAAAAATCTAAGGTAAGTCACCCATAATATGATTTATTTTTGTTTGTGAGGTTAATATGATGATATGGCCACCTGTGTAAGTTTTAATGTTTTGGATTTGGTTTTGGTTTAGTTGGATCTTTGCCAATTATAGAATAAATTACCCTTTTATTCCTTGAATATCACTCATATTTTCATATCCCCCTGATATGACGTCACAGTGGGTTTTGCATTAGATTGATGAAGTAAAATAAAGAAGATTCCTATATACATCAGGAAGGCCTTTGGTAATACTTTAGCTTTTAGTTAATAACTTTCCTGATAATGATTTTTAATGATATATGCCTAAACAACGGATCCGTGTGTTTATTGTTCTGAGTCCTTACGACAATGCAAACTGATTGTAAGTACTGGACACTGTTATACCACTAATTCAAAAATCAAATTAATAATTTGTTTAATAGATACACTCTTGACACCCTAAAGGTAATCCAAGAGGTGAGTGTCTTTTGATTTTGTTTTAAATCATATACATATATATTTACTTGATTGCAAGATGGCTTGAATCTTTTTAGATCCGTATTTTTGCTGGTCAACGGTACAAACTTGATTCAATTTCTAATAAAGCATGCCATTTTTTTTCTCTCTTTCAATGCTTGACGTATACCTTAAAACTGAATTTTCGAATCATAAATTTATATTAGAATACCCCCGGTATCAACTCATGGAATGAATATTCGAATATTTCTTGGCATCCCTAATGATGTATAAAACAAGGAATAAAAAGAATTTCCAAATGATTTTTCGTTGCCAAGGCTAGAGGATAAAAAAAATCTTTAGATACTAGTAAAAATTAGATACTGTTAGTTATTGATCAAGATTTGCCAAATTGCAATAAATAACTAACATAAGATTTTTAACAGCAGCACATCCTCCTGTTTCATCTAACATTACTAGTTAAGAGCAGGAATATAATTCTAGTATCTTTAGAAAAAAACAACCAATAATTTTTAGAGGGAAAAATAATGCTAGACAAATTATTCTTCGCCTTTTGTCTTTCAGGTATCTCCATTCCATCTTTCGAACCCATTGTTCGGTATGGAAAATAAGCTATCACTGGATTACAATGTAGAAGGGAGAATAGAAAGAGCCCCACTGGGAGTCATATCTTACATTCTCAACATCATAGGAATCATTGGCAATGCTGTGGTTATACATATCTTTCGAACACGTACTGGCCCTTCCTCAAATTACAGAATCTTTGTTCTTTTTCTTTCATTTGTCGATGTCTTCCTGTGTGTTGCCCACATTCCAAAAGAACTGAGCAGAATGATCTTCGTATACGATCAGCAGTTGATCCCAGAACTCAGTGATGTGGTTTGTAAGGTGTCTCATTACCTTGGTAATTCCGTGGGTATGGCTTCACTTCTGATTGTCTTTTTTATAAGTTTCGAAAGATACAGAAAAATCTGCACACCTTTCAAGTCCCAAATTTCATTGACCCGCTCGAAGATAATGTGTGTGAGTGTAATTATTACTGGTTTTGTCGTACAGTTCCCAATATTTTTGATTCACGGGACACGATATGTCCAAGTCGAAAACATAAATGCTACTCGATGCAATATAGAAAACAAATATGACGGTAATTTTTTAACCTTCCTGTTTTATGTTTTTATATTCGTGGCTGCGTTTATTTGTATCATACTGATCATTATATTGCAAGTGAAAATACGGCATGCACTTGTAAAGAAAGCCCAAACCAAAAGACAGATGAAAAGCAAGGCTAAAGCGCTCGTCTATAAAATACCTGATGAGAACGTTGTTCAAAAAGAGAAAGCGAATCAAACCGATCCAAAAGAATCAGCCATAGATCAAGAGGCAGAAAAGAACAGACGCATAGCGATAACGTTTGCCGTTGTAACTGTTTTCTTGCTTTCTAGTTTCGTCACAATTACCTTGTTTCAGAGTATCCAAGTCACCAATAGATATTTCTATCCACGGCAAAAGATTTCTAAAATGGAAGACATCCTTGAAGAATACCTGCCAGATACTGTGAGCTTTAATGGGATTTTGAATCCATTTGTTTACTTTTTTACTGATGTACAGTTCAAGTTAGAAGTAATGAAACTTTGCGGCAGAAAATGATAGATTTCAAAATTTAAAAATTTTGACTGATTTTGAAACTGTTGTCGAATTTACATTGCTAAAAAGAAATTTGTGATTTACGTGAGTTGGTATAAAATAAAGTTTTTTTTGCTAGTTATCCTAAACCACAGCTTCTGCTAACATACTAGTATGTTCCATCGACAATATAACTGTGTTTATAACTGTGTTTGAATGCATGTACAATCTCCCATGAAAGGTTGTTTAAATAGTATTTGATTTCTTGTATAGTTTTTGACAGACGTGCAAAAGTTTGAATAAAAGAAAGTTTAATTTTTAGCTAAATTCTTTAGATCACTTGAGCTGAATGTATATTGTAAAAGCAATTTCCTCTTCACACCAACAATTGGGTCAATTTCAACAAACCAGAGCTATATCAAATATTGACTCCAAAAGTTTTTATATAAGGTTTTCAATTTAAAGTCTTATTCTAGTCTGATTGATCCCCCTTTTCCTATGTACATCATGTTTCAATGTCATTTTGGTGCTGGGGGTCAGATTGTTAATATTTTGCCTAAGATGTGTAATACCCTATATTTGAGTTCCCTTTTTTCTGACCCCCATTTTGTTAACTATGTTTTACTTCTTTCGTCATTGACTTTAAAAAATGACATATTTCACTTCTAAATGATGTTATTTGTATTTGCCTGCTTTTTTCCTGCAAAAAAACAAAACCAAAAACAAAAACAAAACAAAGAAAAAAAGAAAAAAACAAGCTCAGTTATTTGGCAGGAGAACTAAGAAACATAAATTATTTCTAATTGGATATAGATGAGGAATAAAGTTTTAATCAAATTTTACATATCATTGCATACAGAAAGAGAACCTTCTCCAGAAAACCAATGACTTGTATCATATTGATACTGTTCAGCATTTGTAGAAAGCTCCTTTATATATAGCAAATAATTCATGGTGGAAAACAAAACTCCTTTCTTAAAGTGTGATATGAAAATACTATAGTAGTTGATGCTTTACATGGATAAAATAAAAGAATTTCCGTTTTTTTTAATCAAGTTTTTTTATTGGCAAGTGACTCACTGTTCACAAAAACCACAAGTGCATAAATGTATCTTTGTTTAAGATCGACAAGGATGAAAGTACTTAAACATCCTGTACATTAGAACAACACCAAGTAAAAGAAAATTCACAGTAGAAACTCACGTTTAAAAACATATCTCCACTCACAATGTAAAAAAAAAAATGATTTTTTTCAATTTTCTATATTCTTTTATAATGAGAGGCTTCGATCCGGAGACATTACTACATAATCACTGTCATCAACTTTTGTGTCATTAGCCATGTAAATATACCAGTCTTCCTCAGATTGGCCGACCACTGTTTTAGAAGGATCATTTTCATATACATGTAAGCCCAAGTCCTTATCACTTCCACTAGTATTTACATTTCTTATGTCATTTTCATATAGAAACAAGTCTTGGAACCTTTCACTGTCATCCTGATAATTAGCATACACAGAGCCTGTGACTTCGGACTCACTACGAGATCTGAAAATATTGGCGTATACTTGGTAGTGACTTTCATTAAACTTTGGAGGTGGTGGTCTTTTAGGAGGAACTTTTTTCTTTCCTTTCTGTGTACTTTTTCCTCTGATTTTCGAGTGATCATTTTCATGTATATGGTTTTTGTTGAAAGTAGTGTCACTCGCAGTTGTCTTTTCAATACGAATAGTGCATGGATGCACAAGATCAGAGCTTTGACAATTTGGGAAAGGGCCATCAATTTTAGGTATTTTCTTCTCTACCTTTCCTACATTGGAAGTGGACGCTGATTTTGGTCGACATTGTAATGCACCACTCCCATCCTCTGGCAGTTTTAACAGATTTGAAATGGACTTTGATTTCTTTCCTTTACGGACAGGGACGGTGATTTTATGGACAATTTTTGACATAGAGAAGTTAATCCCTTCCATGTCCAATATCTGGAAAGAAAAACATTCTGGTAAATCATCATAATACATCATCTTGTTATATTCTCTAAATTCGCTAAGTTACTTTGTAAAAAAGGGGATTGTTAACAATAATTCTTAGAGAAAATTCTAATTTTGAGCATACATTCTTTTCGACTGCAGACTTAAGATATTTCAAAAAATGAAAGGTAAATTTTTGGCGCACATCTTTTCATGTTTTTCAATACATGATTACATAAAGAATGAATAATTATATTTATAATCAGATGCATGGTAAAAATTCAATGAATGGTGAACCCCCATTTGTTTATTGCTCACTCCATCACGACACCTGATCCCAGCTCTGAAGTTTTAGAGGTCCTTGTTTGCCCCGCTCTTATTTTGTAATGTTTAATAGACTATGTGCACGAATACAGTATTAATATTTTATTTAGAAGAGCTAGAACGAAAATATCAGTCACTGGTGAAGATTACGAACAGAGATCGATCTCCTAATTATACAAATCTGTAAAGAGGAAATAAAAACGGAACCCCAGAAAATTCCAGAGGAGGGATTAGGTGCCTAGGAGAAGTAAGCATCCCTTGTTGACTGCTCACACCCGCCACGTCCCTATGTATTAATCAAGTGGACGGAACATTATATATTCAAATTTAATACAAAAGCAAAGATCTAACAAATGGCAAGAAACAAGTCAGCAAGCAGACTTTTTTGCTTATTGTATTTTTGACATTCATGTTGCATAAAATTATCTGTCAGTAATTTGTCTCGGTTCAAAAATGAGTTGGGAGACACAAACACCATATGCATGTGAGAGCGCAATAAATAAGGAAAGACAGCGATGGAAAAGCGAAAGTTGTCATGTTGTTTGTCAAACAGTTAGTTGGCAATTTAATTGTCATCTAAATCAGTACAATATTCAGATAATGGAACAGACGTTGCACACTTTTTTTTTGTATATCTTATTTACTGGGATATATAGATTTGAGTTATAAATGAAAATAGCATTGTTTTTTGATAATTAAACAAACAAATATGTTCCAAAAAGTAGGAAGGGTAACTTCCCATGTCCTCCCCTTTATAATAAACACCTGTCTTGAAATATCTTACCTTTTGAAGCAGTTTGCGCAATTTTAATTCCAGTTTTCTTTATGTCAACAGTAAATTTTGAATGATGATATTAAGATGAGATCGGCTGTATATATGCATTACAGCCATGATCTCGGAAATGTGTAACAATCATGCATTTGTCATTTGCATACTTCTCGGAAACCTACGTCGATAATTTACAACAAAAATTTCTTCCCTACTTGAACGAAAAAAATAGATGTATTACTACTTTGCGTGGGTTAATTGATGTCCAAAATTAAATAAAGTCAATAGCTAATTGTATTGTACATGTACTTTTATATGAGTATCTGTCCATACTTAGATTCTTTGGCAAAAAGGGATCGCCTTTTAAGGACATACACAACGTACCTTACCTACTGTTAACTTTTCAAATATTTTCAATTTAAGATTATAGTGCCATCAGATGTTCTTAAACAAAAATTCAGTATGCATTACCAGGGTTTTTTGGACGATATCAAATCATGAAAATTTTTGTATTATTCAAAGAAAAATATACAAAAATTACAAGACATAAATTCCAGATTTTTTCCCCATCAAATTTGTTTTGGAAGAGGTGTATAAATCCTTATATAGACATTTAAAATATTTCACACAGGTCCTTCATTTAGTGGAACTCTTCAACTCCAGGGAAGAACCCAATAATGTTCAAACAACGTTGCGTATGACCTCAAGAATCCCCTATTTGGACATTATGACCTTGACATCACTATCAATGTCCAGTGACCTTGAACTTGATATGTCATTGAAGTGAGATCATAATACGATAGCAGCGACGAGAAGCTCTTAAGATTCGAATATCAATTTTTTTAGTTTCGCATTTTAATAAATAAAATTTTGCGACAAATAAAATACAAATATTTATATGTAACTAAATACAGGAGTGCCTTGTTTGGTTTGAGGAGGCAAGTAAAATATGTCACAATTATTTCATTTTTATTTTAAATCATTGCTAAAAATAATGCAAAGCCGAAGATAGAAATCTCTTGGAGTTACATATATACCCAGCAAAAATTCTACTTAAAGGCAGAAATTTTTATCGGGTGGTAAATTCCAGGTGAGGGCGGGGCTTTTTTGTACAGGCGTGAAAGCCTTGGGGGATAGCAATCTACCTGTGGTCATCTGTCACCTAAACCCTATATACAGGAAGTGATTTGATACAAAGTGAAATACCCCAGGTGTCAAACTTGACCTGTGTTTTGAGACAATTTTAAATTAGAAGTAAAAAGTTTCTCAAAAACCTGTACTGATTTATTTTGAATTGTTTGAAAACACCCCTAGCCATTTAAAACAATCATGATGATATCATTTTATAAATTCAAATATTACAACAAAGATTATTTTAGATATAAATGTTATGTGTTAATTTGAAATAACCCTCCAGTAACAACCACATTAGACTTATTTCACTTATCCTCAGAATCCCATCTATTTAATGAAATAAGAGCCGTGTTAACTACATTTCATTACAAAATATCTAGTATGTTTCACCTATTTTTTGTCACCATGAAACATGCTAAAAAAAGATTGCTTGTAAATTCGTATCTGAATAACAAAGAAAAATATGTTACCCGTGATTAGAAACATTTATAAATATTTTTTAATTTAATTACTTCAGAACAGTGTTGCTCCAAACATAATCAATTATAACATTTTCAATTTAAGTTACTGTTTGGCATTTTAAAATTAATATAGAAATTAATTTCACGAGAAAAAAAAGCTTTTATGTACCAAAATTGATTTTTTTCACTATATTATAATCCTTTTAAATACTAAAGGTATATTCAATTACTATAATCAAGCTAAAAATTTTCATTGTAATAAATTTCTTTATACCCTATTTGGTATTACATCAAAAGTTAATTTGAAGGTCCCCACGAGTACCAACAATGTGTACAAGGTATACACAGGGACCTGTTAGTAAATGTCAATCAAGTCCTAGCATCCAATGATGGATCTCCATGCACTTGATTGACAGGGCTACCCAGACCAGGTATTTTTGAAGGCGGTGCTTAAAATTTCTGCCTTTAACATGAAAATTGCCTCTACCTAAAGTTTCTTAATTAAGGTAGGATTCTTCTCATATTTCTAATAATCAAAAATTAATGAAATTTTCACAGAATCAAGAAGACAATATTAGTAATTCATAGTATTAGTGAAATTAAATTTGACCGTCTTATATTAGAGGCAAGGTCAGGTCAAGGTCATTATCTTTTTCCTTGACATTAAGAATAAAAAATACCGTTGCTAATCATGTGATACATTGTACCTACTTCTATTTCCAAAGTTAAATGATTGTTCTTTTTGCATAAAAACATATTACTATATCGGGTCTATAGCATGATATTAACAAATTTACATAAATAATTTAACTTAACTGGATATTGGCTAATCCGAATTTTCTCTGTTTTTCTTAATTTTTTAGGATATATTAGTTATTTTCATATGCTTCCTATATTTAACTTTTTCTTATTTTCACATATAATAAAGTAGTCTTATAAATGTACAAAATGATACAAAAACAAAAAGTTTTGATCTTTTGCTAAGAGAGAGAAAATACTTTTCGTGGATTTTTGGCTCAAATCTGCACTTTGATAGGAAGCGTTTAAAAGCTAATAAAATTCTACTTTGTTTGAAAAATCATATTTATTTGATATATTTTGAAAGTTAATTCCCTTAATATTAATTTAACTTACATTTGAAAATTTCTCCAAGTCTTCGATTGTGTAAAAATTATAACTAAATTCATTGTTCTATTATAATTTTGAGAGTCAGAAAAGAAGATATTTTCATACGCTACCATTCCGCCAAAAATATAGTCCCTGCTAGTTTTCAAGCGCAGTTTACCATTTCTATTTTAAGTTGTACAATTGTGATCAGGAAAGAAAAATATAGTCTTTTAAATTCCTTACACCTCAATATATAAGACATATAAGCAAATATACTTTGAATGTTTCATCTAGTCAGAAACCAGAGAAGAATCCTACCTTAATTGTCATTTTGATTTTGAGAAAGCAATATTTTTCAATTTATTACTCTGGTTTTGTAAATTGTTATTTTGCTTTGTCATCTGTCGCATGAAGGATACCGATGTTTTAGCAGGGAAATCATAACTATATGCTTAAAAAAGAACACGGTTTTTATAATAAAAAAAAACTGTTACGGACCTAAAACTGTCTGATGTTTATTCTGACAGAGAGACTTAAATTTAATTAAGGAATCACTGTCTAGTTAGTATAGTATGCCAGGGCATCAGCGATAGTGTGAAACCTGGGATAATTTGCATAACGGGCGAAGCCTGTTATGCATAAATTATCCTATGTTTCCCACTATCGCTGATGCCCTGGCATACTATACTAACTAGACAGTGATTCCTTATTTTCCATTTCATTGTGAAATAAAATTGTAGATTTAGATTAAAATTACACGAGGACTCCCATGTCAATTTCAATAGTCTTCGTCCACTGATGTCAAACACAAAGGCAGCCGCAAGAGATTTACATGCATTTTGGCCTACTTAGCGTCAGACATAGAGACAGATGTGCATGAGATTTGCATGCATATTAGGCCTACTTAGCTCCTGACCTATCGACCTGCCTAATTTACATTCGGGTAGAATTATCAAGAAATCAACTCCGCTAACTTTCAAAGAGTTATTATAGAGAACAAAATTAGAAATGGAAAAATTATGTAACATGACAAAAATGTGAACACGACAATAACAATTCTCTAATTGACAGAACCCTAGCAGACAAGCCAATATGAGAGCAGTTGTCTATTAAAATTACATGCATATTAAGTCATGCATCCAAGCGCTAATTGGGTCGACAATTAAATGTACATAACATCTTTCAAAATCTTTGTTTTAACTCATGATCTCTTCATCAAAATCATGAGATTTATTTCTTTTTGATTCAGGCCATAGATAAGAGTTTGTAAATTAATGAAAATTAAAATATGTAGTTTAGTGTATATATACTTGTTTATTTGAAACTGTTTCCACCAGGTCTAAGATCCCAGGTGAAGTATATGGGATAGATATCATATAGATTTTAAAAAATATGTGCATGTGTCTCAAAATATACGAAGATCATTCTATTCAGTTGTTTTGGAATGTGAGCGATACACATAGAAAGATCAACAATAGAAAGAAAAGGACGAATACTTGTATACTTGGAAGGGCCAGTACGTGTTCAAAAGAGAATGTAAGATATGACTCCCAGTGGGGCTATTTCTTTTTTCCCTTCTACATTGTAGTCTTCTACATTGTAGTCGCCCCGTGGGGATCCGGGTTAGAATAGGTCCTCAGTGCCCCCTTGCTTTTCGTAAAAGGCGACTAAATGGGGCGGTCCTTCGGATGAGACCGTATAAACCGAGGCCCCGTGTCACAGCAGGTGTGGCACGATAAAGATCCCTCCCTGCTCAAAGGCCGTAAGTGCCGAGCATAGGCCCAAATTTGCAGCCCTTCACCGGCAATGGTGACGTCTCCATATCAGTGAAATATGCTGGAGAGGGACGTTAAACAGAATACAATCAATCAACCTACATTGTAGTCCAGTGATAGCTTATTTTCCATACCGAACAATGGGTTCGAAAGATGGAATTGAGATACCTGAAAGACAAAAAGCGAAGAATAATTTGTCGAGCATTATTTGTACCTTTACAAATTATTGGTTGTTTTCTTCTAAAGATACTAGGATAATATTTCTGCTCTTAACTGGTAATATTTTTAGATGAAACAGGACGGCGTGCCATTAAAAATATTCAAAGTAAGATATTTATTGCGATTTGGCAAATCTTGATCAATTACTAGTATCTAATACATCCCCAACTCAAAGATAATACATGATATACAAAAATGCAAATTTTACTTATTTCAGAGCTTACTTCCTGAGATTTTTCATTGTTTGGTCATTGCAGCCCGGAGGACCGGGCTGCTCTATACATATAGGTTTAAGTGTTGGTATATGGGGATTAGGGTGGTAGTAGTTATTCAAAATTAAAGGTTTTCTAAACATTGGAAATATCGTTATAAATCAGAATGTTCTTTCCCTTTATAAATTACGAGATACATAAAATATTTACTTCAATAAAGTGAATCTGTAAATTAAAAATATTTATGTTTT